CCATCCATTCTTCTGGTATATTCGTATAAGCGAAATACTCGATCGTTGGAAACTTTTGGTATTATGAAGTATTTCAGAGCAGTAATCGTAGACGAGAGTACCTTTAGCGATGTTCGTGCAGCAAAAGACATGCCGAGTTCGCTTACTATATGCTAGCCGCTTACCAAACAGGACAGACTTCCTCTCACTAGGGCTTCTAGCCACATGCCGCTGTTAAATAGGGCGATATTCAGAAAGTCTGAGAGTCCATTCTAAGAGTAAGTGCGACAGCTTTAAAAACGATGAGGAGGAAACCCTTATATTTTATGGGCTGTCTTGTTGGTGGCCGGAGGTAGGCTCTAATATTTGGGGACTGCATATGAAGAAGGATTTTAATTAGCTGTACACGTGACCAGATATCTCGTACAACTCTCCTCCTCTGTGTAAGCCCGACGGCGACAAACGTAAAGGGATATTTACAGCTTTTGAGCTGTGATTGCCTAAGACCTTAGTGGCTCTGCTGATGCCGAGTCATTTTATGTTGGAAATGGATATCAAATCGCAAAAGTAAAGTGATAGGATCCACTGGAAGAAAGTTTTGTGCACATGATCTTCATGCTCGACTTTTAAGAGCTTAGACAAACCTGCCTTTCTTGAAAATTACTATGAGTTAGTGTATAGAACTCCCTTTCTCTAAAGTACCATAACAAAGTCTTCAACTCACAGCTCGAAAGGTTTCGGATGAATAGCGCCCCGTTTCCAGAAAAAACTTCACTTATATATAGTACTCTGTTTCTAAGAAAGGTTCATGGCAAGTTACCACTCGCTCCACTTCTTCATTAATAAAACACTAAGACGAAGAATTCTATTTTTATAAGGGGTTTATGACACATTCTTCCACTTTTTAAACTCGAAAGGGGTCTATTGGATGCAGCTCCTGCTCCAGAAAGAACGACACGTTAGTGCTCCATTTCTACATTCTTTTGACGTACCGCTGCTGCCTCTCTTTGCATAATTTCGCTCAAATATTCCATGTGCTTTACCCTGTTGCTCACCACTTTTTGCTCACAAACTCCGTAATATTGTATTGTCCAACATCACATACCCCATGCACCGTACATTGCGACCAGTCGTCCTTGATCAACGCAATATCGCATCGTAAAATATGAAAATGAAGATAGAGAAGAAAGGGAAAAAGTAGTAATTGTGATGCCGAGGCAGCAATAAACGGCTGGCGAATCACACCGAAACATTTTACGCACATTGTTCCATAATAGAAATAAAATATTTTACGATCTTACACACCAGTTTCATGCTGCTGCTGCTGCGTTTTTGTTCCCGCTTTGTGCGTTGTCGTCTTGGTAGCGGTATGACGCGTTGGCGCCAGTTTTATTAGGCAATTTTGAGAGCAACAACAATGCAGCTGAATGCGCCAATAAACAGTTGCGCGCAAATATTTTCTGCTAAGTAAACGAGTTGTACGCAGCACCACCATACGCCGCGCCGCAACGCGTCTGCCTACGAGTTCATGCAAAACTTTTGATACAAACCGTCGCGTCGTTTCAGCGCGCGCGCCTATGGTGAATGTGCATACTTACTGTAGTTACTTTTTTGACTATTTTTTTAATTTTATATTTGCTTTAAGCATTTTAAGACACACAGCGCCTGCACTTTGCTACTTTTATATTTATTTTATTTTATTTGTTTTGTTGTTGTTGTAACATATTTGCACTGTTTGCATGCTGTTGTCTTATGCAGATGCGCAGCTGTTGCACACAAAGCCGTGTTTGTCCATTTCACTGCAATTTGCATGCGCGCTCGACCACTTCCGTCATGCGGCAGCTATGCGCGCATTGCTCAATTCGCGCACTCCTCTCTCTCTTTCTCTCTTTACCTCAGCGCCGTCAGCCACGCTTTGGCAATTTACATTCTCGCTTGTTATTTGCAATTTTCGGTATGTTGCGCGCATGTTGCTGATGTTGCGCGAACTATTCGCTTGTGCGCGGCGTTGAGGTTGAGGCACTAAAAGCTCCAGCGTTCGTACGCTGCGCGTCTCTACATAAATTTTCAGCTATTTTCCATGCTTTCTTTGTTGTTTGTTGTTCGTTTGATTTGTTCCTTTTTGGTTTTGTTTATTTGGCATTTTTGCATAGTCATCGCATTTAATTGCCGCATTAAAAATGTAAACATTGCGCGGCTGTTGCTGCCGCACTGCACTATGCTGCTGTTATGTCCAAAAATGGTTGCGCGCGCAACAACATATTGCGCCACGATTCTTCGGTTCGTGGGTTGGCGCGCTAAAAGCATTTAAACGCGCTTCCGCATAGCTAATTTTTGTGGTAGATTTGAATACGCTATTTGGTTTTTTACTTATTGCTTTTTTTTTTGTGGTTAAATGCGGATGTATGAAAAAATAAATGAACTATCAAAAATAAAATTTAAAAAGTTATACATTAAATTAAATTCATTTTTTCTTTGTTTTTTACAACAAAACTGATTTTCTCTCTTTTAAATCTGCCATCTCCGCTCAAGTTCACCTGCTGGTGTACGTGCTGACCTTTGCATTGGCAGCTGGCCCTTCCATATCCGGTTGTACGCTGAGTTATGAGACGGAGACGCTCAGCTCATAGCTCGTACTGAGTGTTCAGTCTCAGCAACGGCGACGTGCGAGGCCGAAAGTTCAGTCACTTCACCTCAAAACCTATTTTTTACGCGGCTTAAATGATGGTGAAATCGACTTCTCCTTTCTGATGTTCAGTTCAGCAGATATTTAGGACTTTCAGAGCACTCCAGAGCCTCCTTGAGGCTTACCAACATAGCGTGCCAGGTGACTACGAGTGGAACATAAAATTTCGGCTGCATCAGTAGCATCCAGGCTACCTCCGAAATAAATAAAATAATAATAATAATAACTTACAAACTTAGCTTTTAGATTTATCCTAGCTCTGACCAAAGCAGAGCAGTCACATAGCAGATGAGACACTGTTTCTTGCTCTAGAGGAAAACAGGAGCTTCTGCAGCACCTCCTAAAACGAACTCCGAGCCAATTCTAATCTAAAAGTTGGAAAATAATTGAAAACTTGAAGCCACAACTTGAGAGTGTTGAGCAAGTCGCTAAAATGGTATTGCGTTGAGCTGTGCCCAGAGGTCTCTTCACCTTACCTCACTCTATTTCGCTTCATCCCCAGACCTGCGAAAAAAGAGAGAGAACTAGCTCTAAAGTCCACTTGTACAGGTGCTGCAAGTTCAGTTTCCGGTTGCGGAAAATTGGGTGAAGAAGGGAAGTGGGCTCGTAGCGACACTGCAAGTGTTGCCGGGACTTTTCACAAAAATTACAAAATTCGAACTCGTTTTATGTTTACTGCACTCAACCACTATCGTACTGGTCATAAAGAAGGAGAAGAGCTTCTCGCAACTACTTTTGCAGAGGTATTGTTATATGCAAAGCGAGTGCATTTACAATCCTTTCAGAGCCCGGATCACCAGATTTGCATTTTGACCTCAGCAGTAGCCAGGCCAGTAGGACATGGGCGCGTCCAAAATCTTATTTCAAGAAGGTACTTTATTTCTTAATGGGAAGTGATGCAAAAAGTAAAAAAGCAAGCTGCTACCGAAAATTGCAAAAGGTTGTAGTGGGTCGCTGGGTCTCCTCTTAAGACGTTACTGCTTTCTGCGAGGTTTAAGAGATGGGATTCGGAACGTAGAAGCCATCGATAATCGCGGATTTATTCCTGTTTGCACTAATATTTACACTAAAGTTTCGCCTTCCAACTCGCTTTGGTCAGCCTCTTTGTCAATCTCTTCGCCAGCGGTTGAGTTCTTCAAGCATCACCGTTTGCCGCTAGCTCATCAGTTCACTACTACTCCACGCCGCGCCGAGCATTTATGTGCTGTTGTTCGTTGTTACAGAAAAATTATGGCAATTTCAGTGCAAAAAGTAATTTGCAATCTGTCGGCTTTTTGCTATAAAAATTGAGTAGCGGCACAACGACTGATGCGCGCAGAAAATGTTTCCTTCTTCGCAGACCGCGCGCGCAGTCTTCCCTTCCGCTGTGTACTATTTCTTGTGCTGCTTTTGCTTAATTTTTCATTACGGTTGTGTTGGCTCTGACCACATACGTTCTGCATTCTTTGTTTGTTGGTGGAGTGAGCTGCTGTTGGCGGTTGTGGTGATTTGTTGTTGCTGCCATTGGCTGTGGTAAATGGTTATTTTTTATTAGCCATTTTTTCGTTCTCCTTTTTTTGCACCAACAACTTTTGTAATTGCCTGCATGTGTGTTGTTGTAGACGAAACATTCCAAACAAGTGAATTTATAAACATAAACGTGACTCAACTGTTGCGCGACGCGACGCGGCAAGACACGGCACGGCTGTTGGCCTTCATTCACCCCGCCGCGCATGTGTGCGAGGTTGAGGGCCATTGCGAATACTTGTAATGGTGATTATGATATTGATAATGTCGGTGTAAGATAATTTCGATGCTGCGGCGGCTGCTGTTGATGATTTTACTGCTGATAGGTTTTGTGACCGCTTTGCGCGCTTCGTTCTCTACACCTCTTTCGTCATTCACTCGTATTTTTTTTGTTCTTTTGTTTGTTTTTATTTCCATTTTTTTGTTGAGCGTTCGATTAGTGGTCGGTCGGTGGTTTTAACGCTCCTTACGCGTTTCGTTACGCCCAGCCTATTTGTATTGGTTGTTAAGTGCCACTGTGTTACAAAAATATCTACGACTTTTTGCTGTTAATCTGCATGCCGCGCACTGTACGCGTCGCACTATAAAATTTCGAACGCATCACGCGTCCAGCTGGGATTTGCAGTGAGTACGCGCGCGCGTTTAGTAACTGTGCTGGAATGTGGTTAAATGCTTAAACGTGCGCGCCTAATCGGTGCACATTTTCCCATCGTAAAGATTGTCTGTAGATCTGCAGCTCACAAGCTTATGCAGCCGCACGCTTAGTCAACTTACACATACACAAAGCACTCTACGCAATCACAACTAATGCATATTTTTTCTTTTACAGAATGAGCCCGAGTGCACACCTGAGTTACCGGCCGCCAACCGCGCACTATTTTTGGAGAAGGTGCGCCAATCGAATGCTGCCTGCCAGAGTGGCGACTTTGTCACCGCCGTTTTGCTATACACCGACGCGCTGCAGCTTGATCCCGGCAACTACATACTGTATAGCAATCGCTCAGCGGCACGCCTCAAGCAGGGCCAGTTCGCACTCGCACTGCAGGACGCCACCAAGGCACGTGAGCTGTGTCCGCAGTGGCCGAAAGCATATTTTCGCCAAGGTGTTGCGCTGCAGTGTCTCGGCCGGTATGGCGAGGCATTAGCTTCATTTAGCGCCGGACTGGCACAAGACACACAACATAAGCAGTTGTTGGCTGGCCTTATGGAGGCGTCTGTGAAGAGTCCTTTGCGGCACGCATTGGAGCCGACGTTTCAGCAGTTGCGTGCCATGAATCTGGATCAGTCGCCGTTCGTGGTGATATCTGTGGTAGGTCAGGAGCTGTTGCAGGCTGGGCAATACCATTCGGCAGTCACTGTGCTGGAGGCCGCTTTACGTATTGGTTCGTGCTCGTTGAAGCTGCGTGGCTCCGTATTTAGCGCTTTGAGCTCAGCGCATTGGGCGCTCAATCAGCTAGACAAGGCGATTGGTTATATGCAACAGGACTTGGCTGTAGCTAAGAGTCTCGGTGATACTGCGGGCGAATGTCGCGCACACGGCAATCTGGGATCGGCCTATTTTAGTCAAGGCTCTTATAAAGAGGCGCTCACCGCACATCGTTATCAACTTGTGCTCGCCATGAAATGTAAGGACACCCAAGCTGCCGCAACAGCACTCACTTCTCTGGGTCATGTCTACACCGCCATAGGCGATTATCCGAATGCACTGGCCAGTCATAAGCAGTGCGTTCAACTCGTCAAGCAAATCGGCGACCGCTTGCAAGAGGCGCGCGAGATCGGCAATGTCGGAGCAGTCTACTTGGCAATGGGCGAATTTGACTCCGCCGTTGACTGTCATACACAACATTTACGTCTGGCGCGCAAATTGGGCCATCAGGTAGAGGAAGCACGTGCCTACTCTAATCTCGGCTCGAGTCATCACTACAGACGAAATTTCGCACAAGCCATCACATTTCACGAACAGGTATTGCGTATTTCCAAGCAACTTGGCGACCGCAATATTGAAGCCCGCGCTTATGCCGGGCTTGGACATGCCGCTCGGTGCGCTGGTGACTCCGTACAGGCGAAGAAGTGGCATGAGAAGCAACTGGAAATGGCGCTGGCAGCGCGTGATAAAGTGGGTGAAGGGCGCGCATGCTCAAACTTGGGCATTGTCTATCAACTGCTGGGCGAGCATGACGCGGCGCTTAAATTACATCAAGCACATTTGACTATAGCTCGGCAATTGCACGATCGCGCTGGCATGGGTCGTGCATACGGCAATATAGGTAACGCTTACTCTGCTGCTGGCCTATATGAGGCAGCCATCAAGTATCACAAGCAAGAATTGACAATCAGCAAGGAGGTGCACGACCGCAGCGCTGAGGCGTCAACACACGGCAATCTAGCTGTCGCCTATCAAGCCTTGGGCGCTCACGATATGGCATTGATGCACTACCGCGCCCATCTGAATATCGCACGCGAGCTAAAGGACACTGCAGGAGAGGCGTGCGCGTTGCTCAACCTGGGCAACTGCTTCAGTTCACGTCAGGAATTTGCGCAAGCGGTGCCCTACTATGAACAGTATTTGATGCTATCGCAGGAGCTAGGCGATGTTGCGGCCGAGGGTAAAGCTTGCCACTTTTTGGGCTATGTGCATTATTGCATCGGTAATTATCGTGAGGCGGTGCGCTACTACGACCAGGATTTGGCGTTGGCGAAGGACTTGCAGGACAAAATAAATATGGGTCGTGCTTATTGCAATTTAGGGCTGGCGCACTTGGCGCTGGGCAACACACAAGCTGCGTTGGACTGCCAGAAATATTTCCTCACAGTCGCCCATATGACCACGCATATACCAGGAAAGTTTCGCGCGCTCGGCAACATCGGTGATATTTTGGTACGTACGGGCGAGTATGAGGAGGCAATTAAAATGTATCAACGTCAACTTTCGCTGGCGCGTCACACACATGAACGCCCCTTAGAGGCCGCAGCTTGTGGCGCACTTGGATTGGCGCATAGGCTCATAAAAAAATTCGATAAGGCCCTCGGCTATCACACGCAAGAGCTGGCGCTGCGTCAAGATATGTCCGATCTGAAGGGTGAGTGCAAAGCACATGGCCACCTGGGCGCAGTACATATGACTCTAGGCAATTACCAACATGCAGTCAAATGTTATCAAGCACAATTGGGACGCGCGCAGGAGCTGCAAGACTCTGGCATAGAAGCGCAGTCTTACGGCAATCTTGGCATCGCCAAACTTAACATGGGTTTGTACGAGGACGCTATTGGCTACTTGGAGCAGCAGCTGGGCACGCTAGAACGATGCAATATGCCGACAACACAGCATGACCGAGCGCGCGCTCTCGGGCATTTGGGTGACTGCTACGATGCTTTGGGTGATTTCGAAGAGGGCATCAAATGCCATGAACGTCATTTACAACTCGCCACAGCACTGCAAAGTTATCGCGATCAGGAGCGCGCCTATCGCGGTCTCGGACATAGTCACCGCGCGCTTGGTAATCTACAAGAAGCGCTGGTTTGTTTGGAAAAGCGCTTGGTGGTAGCGCATGAGCTCGGCAGCCCTGAAGTTAAGGCTGTCGCATACGGTGATCTAGGTAATATTCACTCAGCGTTGGGTAATTACGAACAAGCTGTCAATTGCTTAGAGCATCAACAGGCTATCGCGCGGGAGCTGGGTGATCGCGCGTTGGTTTCAGATGCTACCAGCGCTTTGGGTAATGTTTATCAGCGCATGAGTGATTCGGATGGTGCTCTCCGTTTGCACAAAATGGATTTGGAAATGTGTGAACACCTGGGCGCCGGTGCATTACAGGCACGGGCTTGCGGTAATTTGGGAGCGGTTTATGAATCCATACAAAGCTTTGTTGACGCGGTGAAGTTCTATGAAAAACAATTGGCGCTGACTGGAGATAAACTCTGCAAGGCATATGCTTGCGGGTCACTTGGTAGGTCATATGTCGCTTTAGTTGTTTCACTTGTAAATAACCACTTTCTGTACATCACCGCACAGGCCGTGTTTTTCATCAAATGGGTCAGCATGGCCAGGCCATCAATTTCCTGCGACAGGGTCTGTCGATTGCACAATCGATCAACAAATCGGAAGAGGAGGCCAAAATAAGATATCAACTCGGTAAGTCTTCCGTATTTTTTTGAGATTTCTCTCTAAATCATTTACTTTATAGGTCTTGCTCTACGCGCTTCCGATGACAGTGAGGATGCGCGTACCCAAATGGAGACCGCCGCACAACTTCTTGAGTCCGTGCGCTACGATCAACGTAGTCCGGAAGGACGCACGACCCTTTTCGATCTGCAGACGAACTGCTATCACATTCTCCAACAAATACTTGTCGCCACGCAGCGCAACGAAGACGCTTTGGTCGCTGCCGAACGTTGCAAGGCACGCACCAGCCCCGATACGAATAGTATCTCACGCAAGACGACCATCACCTGCAGCGAGTCCATATATGAGATTGTCAATCGCACTAAGACGAATGTGCTATACTTCAGTTTGGCCGGTGATGAGCTCTACGCTTGGTTTTTACAGCCGCAGAAGGGAATTGTACGTTTTCATGTAGTTCGTATAAATGAGGAAACTCTGAAACTATCCAGTGAGAAGCACATGGAGCATACGAAGAACATGCAACATAAGGGCAGCCTACTGGAGCGCTATATCAATATGGTTCGCGACAATTTGGGTGTCAATTCAGATAGCGTTTTATTAGAAGGCGATGGTAGCGGCTGGCGTTCGAGTTCGGAGAATCTATTGGATGATTTTACAAACGAACGGAGTGGCTTTCTGCGCATGGTAAATCGCAATCATATGATGAACTCGTCCAACTACTCCCTGAGTTCACTATTCAGCTTGGGCTCTGTTGGCGGCTCAGTCGCAAGCCTACAAGGCTCTACGCGCTCGATAGGTAGTTTACAGGGCTCCACACGCTCACATCGTGCACCCACATTACCAGCCTGGCAAGGTCCCACTTGTCTACATACACTATACAACTTATTACTGGAACCATTCGACGATTTACTGCCCACCGGCTGTTCTGTATCACGCCAAGGACGTAAAGAGCTGATATTGGTGTTGGAGAATGAACTTTACTTAGTGCCATTCGCTATACTCCGCAGTTCGAAAGAAGATGGCGAATACTTATCGGAGCGTTGCTCAATAATTACAATACCCTCTCTGCAATCGTTACGTCTGAAGACTAAAATATTACGCACACGGGAGCTAACGGAAAATTTAAATACTGCTTTGGTCGTGGGCGGCCCACGTATACCGTCCGTGCTGTCGGAAACCTGGGGCTGGTCAGAGTCACCAGCTTCACTGCAAGAAGCCGCTATGGTCGCTGATATGCTACAAGCAAAGGCCATCGCAGGCTGCAATGCCACAAAGGAAGCAGTCATATCCGAGCTACCAACCGCCGAATGTGTACACTTCGCCGCCAATCTTAGCTGGAAGCTGGGTGCCGTAGTACTCAGTCCAGGCGATGTCGTAGACTCACAGACACAGAAACGATATTATCAAACCGCAGCAAATGGTGGCACGCAGGAAGAGGAGAGCAATGAACTTTCGGGTGGTAATATGGAACTACCTCAGCTCTCCGACTTCATATTGTCTGCAGCAGATGTGCTCACAATGAAACTCAACGCCAAGTTGGTTGTATTGAGTTCATACCACTCCATAGAACCCATCACAGGCGCTGGTGTAGCCAACTTGGCTGGAAGCTGGCTGTGCGCCGGTGCTGGTGCCGTACTTATCTCTTTATGGCCGGTGCCCGAGACTGCTGCAAAAATATTGCTGCGTGCATTTTACTCAGCTTTGCTCCAAGGAGCACGTGCTGCAAGGTAAGTTCACTTTATAACCGAGTCCCGTAGTACACTAAATCAATCCTTTCTTTATTCCACAGAGCCCTCGCTGAGGCTATGCAGACCGTACAGCACACAAAACACTTTGCGCACCCTGCAAACTGGGCTGGTTTCCTTCTGATCGGCGGCAATGTACGCCTTTCCAACAAGGTCGCCATGATGGGAAATGCGCTTTGTGAGCTCATGCGTACCCCTGACAAGTGTCGAGATGCGCTACGTGTCTGTCTACATTTGGTGGAGAAGAGCTTACAACGCATACATCGTGGGCAAAAGAACGCTATGTATACCACGCAGAAGAGCATCGAAAATAAGGCTGGACCGGTGGGCGGTTGGAAGGATCTGCTGATGGCTGTGGGCTTTCGCTTTGAACCAGCCGCAAACGGCATACCCTCAAGTGTTTTCTTTCCACAATCCGATCCAGAGGATCGACTCTCACAATGCTCAGCTAGCCTACAAGCGCTGCTAGCTCTGACACCACTTACACTGCAGTCGTTAGCGAAGCTTGTTAATAGCGCAGATGTAGCGGACGATATTATTACTTTGATTAGAAATGTTTTGGCTCAGTTTCCACCCAAAGGCGCGGCCGAAACGGAGGCCTGCATAGAAATACCACTCAGCGTACGTTTATGGCGCGTCGCGGGTTGCCACGAACTATTGGCATCCATTGGCTTCGACCTCACTGAGGTCGGTCAAGACCAGGTTACACTGCGTACCGGAAAGCAGGCGAACCGTCGCAACTGTCAATTCGTGTTGCAGGCATTGTTAGCATTGTTTGGTAAGTTAGAACTTTTTATGTCAAATCTTTTGCTTATAAAACTTCTAAAATTTTTCAGATACCCAAGAAGCGCCTAAGAGCCTCGGATTAGACTCATCCAGCAGCTGTGAGTCGCTCGCTGAAGAAACTCATTCCGATCTACAAGTCTCCATCTCTAACCCGACCCTTGCGCTTACATCTACACCAACGGCAGCGACTTCAGCACATCTTTCAGCAGACACCACTAAGTCCTTGGGACTCGGCCTACCACTACCGCCTCTGAACCGCACACGTGTCATCAGCAGCAGCGGCAGCGCATTTATTTCGTATGTACGACGACGCGGCGAACCAGATGGAGGACGCACTGACACCGAATCGATACCCAGCGCACCGGACAATACCGGTTGTGCGCTGTATCCAACACAAGACTCTAGTTTAGCCAACACAACGGACAGTGAGCTTTCTGATGGTTACATTTCACAAGCCCACATAAACAAAAGCACTGGTCCCCGCCTAGGCTTTTCAAGCTTACGCGCACCGGTACGCGTCTCACGTCCGGGTGGTGGTGGCGAAAGCGATGCTGCATTCACGCCCAGTCCACCCGTAACTACACAAAACCCTGTAGAACAGAATGTTTCCCTGGCTTTAGCGCATCAAACTCGCATACGTAACCTCTACTCAGGCGCAGGTATGAACTATTTGGGTGATAGTGTTATACCAGAGCTAACTGTCGCACCGGGTGGCATTTCACGACGTCCAGATAGTTCCAGCTCAGCTAGTTCCACCACTGACTGGGAGATTTCCGGTCATGCTACTGTATTGCGACGCAACAATCAACCACCATCACACACCGGGCACATGCCGCCATTGCCACCACCGCGGCAAAATCTACCGTTGGTGGATAGCTTGCGGCCGGTACCACCAATGGCGCCTGTTTACAATAATCTCGGTCCAACCACTTCTATGGCTGGCTCAACTATATTATCAACTAATTTGGAGTCGACAAGCTCGGAATCAGAAATCGAACGTGGTCTTGAATTAGCACAAACACCGATGTCACACTTCCGACTCAAGCCGAAAATCAAACTCGGCAATGCACAGTCTTCCATAGCCGCACGCCTCAGCAAAGAGCATGCGCTCTTCATGGACAGACTTAATGTACGCTCCGATATGCCAACTAATCTAAGCCTGAACAATCAAGCCGCCGGCACAGCTGGCGCACTACCCGGCAGTCGCAAACCGTTAAGCTTACCCGAAGAAGACGATAATGCACTCATCGTAAACGCATCAAATCTGTACTTCTCACAAGCCGACAGCGAGCTGCTTAATGAAGCCAAGAAGGAACTCAAACCTGTGGCAGTTGGTACTTCAGCGACTTGCAGTAGTCAAAGTGCCGTTTCTAAAGAAGCGAACAAAGTGAATCAAAAGAGCATACAAGATTCAATAATGCGACACATGAACCGTGAAACACCCACCATCTCCGAGGTATACCACGAACGAAATCTAGGTTTGGGCTTAGCACCGCCACTCTCCAAATTGCTCTTGAGCAAGAATTACGATGACGAACCCAGTGTGAGCAGCAATAGCAGCAAGTTGAGTAACACGTGCACTATAAAAAGCATCGTAGACGCCGTAAATGAGCTGGAACTCAGCGGCACTTCCTCATCATCATCCGTCAGCACGGCGAATACGAAAACACTGAACATAACGCCACTTAGCGCCAGCAACTGTAATAATAATCCAACTATTGGCAACAACAGTACTTGTGGCCCAGGTAACGGTAATATTACAAATAATAACGGCAATGCGAACAACACGAACGCAACTACAAAGGAGACCTGCTCCATTTGCGGTGAACCAGCAGACATTATTTGTCGTTGTAAGGCTGCCACAGTGCAAAAGAAGGGCACACTCAAGCCGTGGTTGAGCAACGTGCCCTCGAGCATAGTTAAAGCCAGCGAGCTGACGACAGCCGATATATTGGAACGTCAACATAAGATTAAAACGAATGTTGGAACGATTAAAGCTAGAGCAAGTGAAGTCGTAGCGAGCATGACTATGAGCAATGTGAAGCGTGCGAGCAGTCCGTTCAATGAGTTCTGCCGCCGCGATGAGGGCGATGGAAGATCCGTGGCAGACTCACAATGTAGCAGTACTTATAAGACGGCGGCGGCAGTGTTGGGCGTTACTGATGGTGTGAGTAACGGTACAGGTGGTGTGACAAGCAGTAAAGATGGTAGTAAAAACAGTGCCTTAGGTGGTGCAAATCCTCCGGTGGGTAGAAAGATGTAATATGGAAGCGGTGAAAAACGAACTTAACACAATTATTAGAAATGAGTTGAAAGCTTGATTGTTTTTTAGTATTTAAAAAAAAAAAAAAAAAAAGAGTGTTTTTTAGTATTAGAAAAACAAAAAAAAAAACAACGATAACACTTTTTGCAATGTTTCTTATCTCTACCACACGTAATTACGATATTATTATATTTAATTATTAAAATATATTATTTCTTATTTAAGTATAGTTTTATGCAGAAACTGTAAACATACAAACCATGTGCTATACAAAAAGTTGTACAGTTCTAAACTAAAACTTTTTTTTAGACTTAAGCTGTTTTTATGTCATTATTACTATTTCATATCACATTTAGCCGCAAACTTGCCCTGTTTTTAATGAATTCAACATTTATATTTAAGTATTATTTTATCTCTATTGATTTTTGAGCTGAAAGACTATTATCCGGTATTAATTATGTGCGATTTGCATTTATTTTTTAATAAAAAAAAAAACTAAAATAAAACCTAACATATCGAAATATTTTATTTTTTAAACAAATTTAATAGGTAAGCCGAAAATAAAAACTTGTGCTCTTTTTTGTTATTGCAACACTTATTTTAAAAAAGACAAGTAATTATTTTACGCACACTTCCGCTTAAAACCGTCAAAACAACTTTTTTATTCACTCTTCTGTGTGACCTTTTAACCATTGCATTTTCGAAAACATGCCACTAAATCAAATTATTATCTTAGATTGAAAAAAAGAGAAAGAATTAAGAAGACGTGACTAGAAAAAACAAAGTATTTTTGTAAAAAAAAAGGAAAAATTGATCTCAGCAGTCGCGTGTGCACATGCCGCAAATATAGTCAACATAGCAGAAACACAAATTCTATATTAAATTCGCAACAATAATATGAACTCTTAATACAGGCAATTAATCATGCACAATCATGTTTGTAAGTAACTGTGTGCTCCGCATTCCCATTAAGATTTCCAATTGTTTATGTGACTCTAATTGTTTCATTATTGCTTGACATTTTCTGCCACGCGATAAGCCAATAAATGATAATACTATTGATTATACACTGCGCATAAATTAGATACGCACAGATATAACATTTTTGTAATTATTGTACACAAAAAGCACACACAAAAAATACGCGTCCGTTACATGTGAAGAAAATCGAGCAGTAATCGATAACAATGACTCAACGGAAATCCGTTCAACAAAGCGATAAATGTGCATAACCAATTGCGGAAATATCGCAACTTCTATTTAGTTTTAATAATTTTCCTTAAATTAAACAAAAGCAAATAAGGCAATTGTGAATTAAGGTAATAAAGTAACCAAAAGAAATTGACAACAGAAGATGCAAATATTGTTTACGCTTTGTGGCTTTCCTGAAGCCTAGTGTATGATTGATTGAAAGTTGCACAAAATTCAGTTTCTCTTAAGAATAAATTTAATAAAATGACAACAAAAACTGAGTTGCAACGGCATTTTAACTGAAAGCATAATTTTAAATTTAATAATTCGCGGTGTATTTTTCGAATTACAAATTATTATTATTTTTTTTTTGAAGTAAGTAATAACTCATGGCCTTGTTATGGTAATAAATCATGATAATTATAATTAATTTCAAATTTTATTATTGTCTAGAGGAAATTGATAAGCAGTATCCTTAGAAAAAAAGCCATAATTTTTAGGTTATCAGCAAAAAAAACTTATACTATTACTATACTCTAATTAAAAATAGTAACTATTTACTTTAACTAAAAGGCGAAAATTAATGTAAATTAAGATAATAATCATAATAAAAAAAAAAACAAAGAGTAGCAACAAGCTGACAAACAGTGCTGCCCACCACGAAAACCATCATGCAGTGTTTCCTTCCGCTCGCAAACAAGCAGTTATGTTTACATTTTCAAGTTGTGCAATGACTTTTATGACAATTGAAATTCATCATTTCCCGTTCGCATATTAGCTAAGAATCTTTGCAAATTATAAATATCACAAGCTATGGTGTATAAATAATACAAAAAAAGACACACTTCGCTTTGTTGCTTTTATTAACCCAACAATTTATGTAAATGAATGAAAGCGTGTTCTGTCAATGGAATATGGCCGCTACAATGCAATTAAAGAGACACGAGCATGTGCTAGTAATTTATGAGATTCTCCAATTCAAATGTGTAAAAGAATTTAAGTGAAATTCTGCGATTGTATAAATGTGATATATATATAATATATGTTTAATAGCTTGTGCAATTTATAGTAGCAACCAAAGTAGATACAATGAAATATCTTATATTTTGAAAGAGATTCTTCGATTGAAAAACGCATTGCCGAGTGCGGCACTGTTGTATGTATACGTAAATGTGTATGTACATATGCAATTGGAAAGATATGTATGTGATTAGCATACGTTATATAGTAAAAGAAGATAATGATATTATGCGCCTTTTTACTGCGATAATGTCAAGGTCATGCGGCATACACAAGGTTAAGCGACATTTACTATAAATAAATTTGAAATAAAAGGATATACATACATATGTAGTAAAACGAAGACGATGTGTGTTTTGCGAAAAATACCAACAAATATCAATAAATTTCAAATACAAAATTGCAAAAAAGTAATAGAATGGCTTGTGATAATTGTAATACTGAAATTTTTGCAACTCAATAATACAGTTCGGTGAGCTGATGGGCAGTAACAATTATTACTAAACTTTACTGAACCTCCCTCCGCAAAAATCAAGTAAAATTTGACATTTCGTTGGTGCCATTTAACAAAATTTTAGTTTTCTTTTTATAAAATTGTGCCGCGAAAACGTGTAATAAACGTGCGCTCCTTTTGGAGGCGTTGACGGGAAGGCACGTTTCTTCGACTTTGTACGCACAATGAACTAATTACATACATACACGCATAATTTTAATTGATTATTGTACAGTTAATCGCATGTGTTGCTGCGGAAAATCTGTGAACTGATAAGCCAACTCAAATCATATAAAACAAACAAAAAAAACATTTGAAGAGCTGCGCACGCTTACTCGTAAGAGATAGATTAAAAAAAATTTAAACAACTAAAAAGTGAAAAAAAATTAAAAAATTAAATTAAATAAGAACTATGTTAAAATATTCTATTAATAAAAAGCTTCAAAACAAACCGTATTAAACAATAAATTAAGTAATCGTAGTAATTGCGTAAATATTGAGGTGAATTACGTACGATTAAGAGGAAGATTAGAATATTCATTGTATAAACTGATTGTAATATATTAATATTTTTATATTTTTAATAACTTGCACTTGAATAATATTTTTTGTAAACAATATATGTGTACGTACATATGTATGTCTGTATGAAAACAAAATTACTATTTTTTCGTTTTCATTTTATCAAAATTTATTACTACCATTGATTATAATGTTTGTGGAAATATTTACAAGCGTTTATATTAGTATGCTTACTTACTATAAGACGTTATATAGTATATATTTACATGCAAACTGCTTTTACTGCTTTTCAAAAAAACAAAATACTTAGCTGGTCAATAACATATGTACATGTGTATGTATGTATTGGAAAGTTGCATAGGTTATCTTAATGGAAAAATATTACAAATTGATTGAATTGAAAATTATACTTTTATATGTAATATTTATGTGCATACATATATACATACATATATATACACTCTATTGAACGTACTACGTTAATGTAGCTACATACATACATACGTAACTCGCACGGCAGTGTAAATTATTTAATTTTTAATTACCGTAATCATTTTGACTCATATTAGTCATTGTTAATAATTTACGCATACACATAATTTTGGTGTAAAAAAGATTCAATCAAAAATAAAATTAGATCGAAGAGAATATTTTTTTAACAAAAAACCGAATATAGAACTTAATTTTAATAGAAAGAAAGTAACATCGGCAAAAGTTTAAAATTCACTGAAATTAAAAAAAAAATATGTATGCACCTACTGACGTCAAAGAAAGGTAATAGCCTAAAAACACTAATAAATATAAAATGAAAATATAATAAATAAAAGAAAATAAATAAATAAATAATTAACTTAAGTTTAAAAAAATAATGTAAAATAAAATAAGATAAACTGAATGAAATGAAATAAAAGAAAATATGAAATAATATATATCGGCCGCGGTAGCCATTCGGAAGGCTCGGGTTCAGACCCAGGTGTCGTCCTAACATCCAAAAAGTTGTAGGAAATTAATTTAAATAAAAAATTATGTTAAATCTTCTAATTGCGATCGCCTCTCGGCAGGGAATGTCAACCCCTCCAAGTGTATTTCTGACATGAAATAATGGCTCCTCATAAAAAAAAACGATCAACCTCTCAGAGGCGGCTTAGTATGAGCATGAGAAAAAATTAAATTAAGTAAAGTTAAATTAAGTTAAACTAAATTGAACAAAACGTATAAAATAATATAATAATAACAAAATTATTAATTAAACAAATATGTAAAATAAAGTCAAATAATAAGATAAATAATTAACTCAAATTAAAAAAATTAATAAATAAAATACTATAAAAAGGCAAATTAACGTGAATGAAAATAAAAAAAATAAGGCCAAATTAAAATAATTACATGCAATTAAAAGAAAATATTAATAATGTTTCCGAGTTAATAAAATGTAATTTAAAAAATGTCATACGTTTCGTTACCATGGCAACTCATGTATGGCAATCAGCTATCATGTTAAAAATACCACGCATTTACATACACAAAAATGCTACAGGATAGAACGCCTGTAAATATGTCAGCAGTTGTAAAGATCAAAGCTAGAAATAATCGACGAAAGGAAGAACTGAGGCATTAAACAATATTTTTTTAACATAACAATTATAATAATTAATAACATTAATTCAAAAATATTTTTTAACCAAAAATTTTCTCTAAGAAACTTTTATAATTTCAATGCCACCGTTGCAATAAAATAAAATTAATGAAAAAAAAATTATTTGAATATCATTTTAAATGCATATCTGTACATATATTTATATCACGAGCAGTCAAAACATAAAAACTTAGATTAAAATTCTCAAATTTGTACTCGTATAAATATGTATGTATGCACACACATACATATGAGGGGGTAGCACGCCAACTTTATCAAGTCATTTTATATTTTATTTTATTTTTATATTATTATTTATTTTAATTTTTTTGTTGCTTCGTTTGGGCATTGCCCGCCACTATCGAAGTAGCGCCGCCCGCCTTTACAGTGGTCGCTCAATGGCTTTGCTACTCCACTCCACATTTGATTGCGGCACGATCGTACCGCCGATCGCCGCCTCGTTTAAAGCTCTTATCACTTTCGCTACACCTTCGCGCACCTATAAAAAATGCGCGGCTGCTCAAACGACAATTCAAAAGTGTCACAGAACTTGCAAAGTCCACAACGTGAGCGAATAGTGTTTTGTTAAAAATTAAATTTATAATAAAAAAATTTGTAGTAATAAAGAAAATTGAAAGGACTTTTCCGGTGAAAAAACTGAAAATAAATTTAATTCTTTTTTGTGATATAAATTTTTTAATTGTCCTTGAAAATGCGTCTGCTGTTGGATAAGGTAAAAATTGGAATGTTTTAGTGTGCATCCCATCAAAATATACATATAAACAATAAAAAAATTATATAAAAAAAAGTTCGACATAAAATAAAATAAGTGATAAATTTGAAATCAACGTATTTTAGTCGCAGAAAAAGTGGGTTGCTGTGAATTTAAATGCACCTCATCAACGTTTGTGCGGAGGAACTCAGTTATTTCTTTTTTATTTTTAAATAATATTTTAATTTAATAGTTTTTTGTGATTATTTTTTTATTTTAATTTTTATTTTATAATTTATAGATTTTTTTTTCTTGATTATTTAAATTTTCATATTTAATTTTTATGCTTTTTTGTACCTTTTCTTATTTAAATTTCAAAATTATTCCCAACAGCAAATCGAACTTATCGATCCTTCGGAACTTTTACGCCCCGAACCCGCTTTCGCCGATAAATGTCTGTCGAAATTTCGCGATTACAGTATAAACGAGGAAGATCCTCTAAAGGAGCGCGTACGCAGAACCTATCGTGCTATGCATCTTAATCAAACGGTTGATTTCGTGAAAGGTAAGGGGACAATAAGATAAGTTAAGAAATCAAAAGTTTTTTATTCATGAATTTTTTCGAATTCGAAATTTTAATTTTTCGAATTAATTAAAAATAAATTATTCGAAATATAGTTTTTCTCGAAAAGATTTTCGCACACTTACCTGTTCTTTCCTCTCTCTCTCTCTCTCCCTCTTTGTTTTCCTCCATAAGCACGCCATGAACGCTGGCTCAAATTCAATACTTTCCAGGCGACCGTACGCGAAGCGCTCGAGAAGCTCAACGATCTGGTTGATGAGTCAGACCCCGATATTGATCTGCCAAATATCGTACACGCCTTCCAAGCAGCCGAACGTGCACGCGAGGAATACCCCGAACTCGATTGGCTACATTTGACCGCACTCATACACGATCTCGGCAAAGTGATGGCTTTCTACGACGAACCACAATGGGCCGTGGTTGGCGACACCTTTCCGGTGGGTTGTAAATGGGGTTCCAGCATTGTGTATCGCGACCATAGCTTCGAAGGTAATCCCGATGGCGAAAATCCAAAATACAACAGCAAATATGGGATTTATGAACCAAATTGTGGTGTTGAGAATTTGCTCATGTCCTGGGGACATGACGAATATATGTATCGTGTGTTGAAGCATAACAAGACTAAGCTGCCACATGTGGCATGTAACATTATACGTTTCCATTCGTTCTATCCATGGCATAATGGCGGCGACTATAAGCACTTGGAAGCGCCTGGCGATGAGGAGACAAAGAAGTGGGTATTGATTTTCAAGTAAGTATTGACAAATCAGCTACTGTGAATAGAAAAGTAAAAATAGTTTAATTAAAAACTCGCCCTCTTTCTTTCTCTCCCTCTTTCACCACCCAGTCGCTATGATTTGTATACCAAGAGCGAGAACTTGCCTGATATTGACGCTTTATGGCCTTACTACCAATCTTTGATTGACAAGTATTTACCTGGTGTTTTGGAGTTCTAAACTAAATAGGTCTAGCAGCGGTTTAATCTTCATCACGACAAATGGAACAAAGCTTTACGTGGCAACATAATTATTCCTCAATTTCGAGTGGATCTCGAGGCATTCTTGTATATACATACATTCATACATACATTAATCATACTTATTTACACTAATCCATATTGAGATAAATAGTTTTTAAGCTTGAAAACGGCAAAGACCGGCAATGGACTTTTGAAAATATTTTTTAAGCAAAATAAAATTACTAAAAATATCAATTTTCTATATAAAATATCGTAAATTTTTTCATAAGGGGCCAAGAGGGGATTGGGGTAATTGAAAAGCTACGCTGGAGCCACAAAGCCGTGAAGAGGAGGAAAGGGGTGACAGGATATGCCACGTAAGGTAACATTTCTTAGAGGGTTGTCCCGAGTCTTTAAATATGATCAAGTGGCTTATGCACGCTCTTGAGTAATCAAACTGATGGCCAAGAAGGGAGAAGGCAAATTTCGACGAGGTTAAAACTGAGGGAGTGGAGCGATGTGATCCGCTACGTGTAATAGCTTATTGCATAAGGTAACTGGGTTGGATATGTCGGGGTCTAGGTGCTGATTTAATGATTGTGCAGGTTTAAAAAAATGTTGATTTTCTGATATACGAGCCGAAAAGATATCCTGGGCTGTCATGTGGAATGCTTTTAATAATTGTAAGCTGAAAACCGTAGTTGGGACCTTATCAGGTTGAAACAGGATCTTTTCTCACCGACACTGTGTGCGTTCCCTTCGAGCTCCCATTGGTATATACTTTTTTTTGAGTGGTAATAGGTTGGACATGAATGTGCTTCCTCTAAACCCTCCAACTTTCAGCAATCCATAATTGAAGTATTTCCCTGTTTTGGTATCTGTCAAGTCTAAGACAGCGCAGTTTTAAAATCATCCCCTTAAAAGCGATAGTTACTCAATTAATTTTTACTTATTTAATGTTCTTCACTTTTTCGAAGCTGGGTCACGTTTAGAATACCGTGAATAAAATATACTATGTGAAAGAAAAAAATAAAACATTTTCTGCCCGATAAAACTTTACTTCCTCTTAGCCTTCACAAGTTCTTGGGAAGTCCATTTAGAATTTACGATAAGAAAAGCATTTACATCTATGTACGTACATATTACGCTTTATTTTCGTATATCTTATTCAAATTGCAGCATTAACAAATACAATTACACTAACTATGAAATGCAACACGTGTCACACAATCAGCTTACTGAGCTAATAAAAAATAAAAACAAAAGGAAATGTGTTCGCGAATGGATGGAACTATACGCCGCATAACACCACAGCATAATTTTCAGAGCAGAACATCATATCGCGCGTCACTGGGGCGAATCTCACTCAATTCAGATGGCCAATGTTGTCACTTGTACTGTCGCCGATATAACAAGGACGGCGGGTTAGCGTTCATGCTTCTTCCTCTTCTCATAGCGTGTGGGCGTTTTAGAGCGATCCCGATCACGTTCGTATTCACGTTGTTTTGCCTCACGCTGCGAACGGTGTTCACGGTACTCACGTTCGCGTTCACGCTCCCACTCGAAATCACGTTTCCTTCTCGCTTCCACCGAAGCGCTGCGTTGATTACGACTTTTTCTATTGCTTTGACGATATTCGTGCTCATATTCAGCCTCTCGCTCGTGTGTGTGCTTGCTGTTGTGGCGACGCTCATGACGTCGCTCACTCTCCTTGTAGTCCTGGTACAATGCCTCCGCTCTGCTTCTGCTATCGTGACTGCGCGCACGCTTTTTCGATTTCTTCTTGTGCGCACTGCGGCTTGCAGATTTTCGCGATTTTGATGACTTTCGTGTTTTGGACTTCTTCGCTATTTTCGCGCTGGATTTGTGCTTACGATGTATGCGTGAGCTTGTGCGCCCGGTAGCCGCATCGGCTTCCATGCTTTCGTCACTTAAGTAAGTGCTTTCTGAGACGGTAGCGGTTGACGTCGTAGATGTTGCTGATGTTGAGTCGGCTGAACTGTCGCTATCACCATCTTCGTCCACAGTTGAGCGGCTAGGTGCGCGACTATGTTTTTTCTTCTTCCGATCATCTTTTGTACTTGTTGTCGCTATCTCGTCCGGCGAGCTATCGCGTGCACGTGAACGCAATTGACGTTTGCGTTCTGTGCGTTGCTTATATATCGTGGGACGTGATAAAGGTTTTATTTCGCCCACCAATTGTACATCGTCATCGTCTGAGACTGTCACGGTAGCGGCTACTTTGGGTTTAATTTTTTCCGTAAAAGTTTTGTTGTGCGTTGCGCCAGCTATATGGGTTTTGGGTACGTCAATCGTGCACAGCTTTGCCTCCTCGTCCGATTTGCCGTCATCCTCTGGTCCATACGATGTTATGGGTATGGAATGCACAGATTCTTCTGAGTCCGAGGCATTGGCATTTGCTTTGTCGGTGTCGTTTGGGGAATTCTTGCCCGAGTTGGAGCCAGGTGCGCCTGATTTTTAGAAGAAAGTTATACTGTCAGTATTATCAGATTACCAGAACCTGAATTAAGAAAAGCATATTGGACGGTTCGTACATATGTATATAGTCAAGGTATCAAAGACTAATTTAAATCTCTAAGATAGACTCACTTTATAATTTTATTTCCCATATGTTCTAGTGGTGGAAAAATTCTAAAAACCGTCAATATTAAACGAACCTAATTATTTTATTTTATGTTTTCAATTTTAAAACTATTTTCGTTTTTATTCCCATATGGTCTAGTAGTTAAGATATCAAAATCGTCAATTGTGTGTCTACTTCACCTTTAATTTGATTCAGGAATGCCATCGCTTTGCGTTTGCGCTCCAACTGCAGCTGTTTCTCCTTGGATATGGGGCCACCTAATTTTTCTCGCGCAATTTTGGCCAATTTGTCTTTTACCTTCTCCTCGGCTGGAAGAAATAAATAATACAATATGAATGAAGAATCCTCTTCCATTTTCACAAGACACCTGACCCACCTTTCCTTAATTCTTTCTGGCGGTGTTGTTGTTGTTGCTCAAACAAAGCATTTCGTTCCATTTCTGCTTTGGAGCTTTTCAATTGTTGTTTCGTTGTTTGGCTGTTGTAATCGACATCAAAACGACTACCGGTGGGTTGATGGGAATGGTGGTTGGACGTTGAGTGTGTGCCATGCAACGTAGTGCCCGCTAGAACGGTATTTGACGTGCCACGATTACCGACATTAGCGACGATTTGTGCGTTTCTAGCCATTAATTGACTCTCTACCATCTGTATGGCTTTCTGCACATGCTCGGGCACGGCGCGGGATTGTGTTGGAGCTGTGGGTTTGGCAGTGCTTTCCTCATCATCGTCGCTAGGCTCGCATGGCAGAGCAGGTTGAAGAATCGCAGTAGCGGGCTCATCCTTGGGTTTGATGGAGAAACAAACGGGAGCTGTTGAGTTAGAAGATTCGTCCAAGATTAGGAAAGTAAATTTTATCTATACATAATTCAAATCAAACTTACAAATCGCTTTTTCGGCCGGTTGCAAACCCTTTTTACTCATCAGCGCGGCGGCCACTGCAGCGGCTTTTCGCTGCTTCTGCTCTTTCGATGCAGCATCGGGATCGCCGGTCACTTTATACAAATAATATGGATAGAATTCATTATCATAGAGCAAAAATGTGAAACGATCAACGCTCTTGGAGCGTAAAGTCTCTTCAAATTGTCGTCCATTTTTCACAACATATGTGGCAGTTTTATCAATAATGTTCTTGAGCGTTTCCGTTGGCACTGGTATATTGAGTTTTGGTTCAATTTTCGGTGCTGGTGGGGTTTTCGGCTGCTCCTCCTCCGCTTCCGACTCCGTTTCGGAGGCGTAATCCTGCGCCAAAGCTAAAACGCTAGAGTTTTTCAACAACTCTACCTCCGTTTTAACAGGACCATGCGAATGTGAGTTCGAATTCGAATTGGTGCCTTCATCTGGCTCCGCCGAGACATACGTACTGCCATTGTACTGCAATAGTACAGGCGTAAAATTAGAACCGGTTGGCGTGGTGGATATAGGGGAATTCGACGATGAAGGCATATTAGCTAATTCACCATCAATGACAGCAGGTAAGGGTACACCTTTGATTTTACTGATCAACTGTGTGTAGGCGCAATTAGCTGATGGCTTGTACTTGATGGTGGGCACTGTAATAACCGGCTTCGCAGGCACTGGACTGTGAGCGCCTGTTATCGCGTCTTTGCTGCACGATGCTGCAGACTCCGCTGCAGACTCTTTAGCCGATGGACTTTCAGCGGGATAGTTGCCATTCTTTATGGCATTCAACAGATATTTATAATAGGGATTGAGCACCCCATTTATAGCAAGAAAATCAAATTGTATGTTATTCGATTGCTTGGCTTTCAGTAAGATCTCCATTTGCATGCCTTGTGAGGCAATAAAGCGTGCGGTCTTCTCTATGATAGCGTGTTGCTTCATTGTCTCGGGCTGGAAGAAGGTTGAACATTAGTACTACATAGTGAATGTCTTTTCTTTCACAAAATATACTCACCACTTGTATGGTGATCGGCACTTCGAAGCCTTTGGGCGGGCTAAACGCCTGCTCTGCCTCTTCGCCATTCGGCGAACTGTTGAGATCCTCACGATTAGGTCCATGCGGCATACCGCCATCGTTGCCATATTGAAAGTCCACTTGCGTATAGTTACCGCCTTCGACATCCTGTTTTAGGCGCTTCAAATCCTCTTCTAAACATTTTTATTTTCATTTTTTGTTGTTGTTGAGCGCAAGTTTATAGTTATGGCATGGTTGTTGGTGTTGGTTGGTTGGTTGGTTGGTTGGTCGGTAGATAAATGGTGGTTGGTGTGTGAAGGAGAGGAATGATACCCATCATCAACATCGGCGTTTTATGTTTCAATCAAATAAAAACAAAAATGGCAGAGAAAGAAAACCAAAATAAGTCTTCATTTGGAAGTGACTAGGAGGCAGCTACGCCTATGCAAGTTTGCAAATTTAGTTGCAGTACAGTTCACAAACAAAAATTATGCGCTGTAGCATGAAATTCGGATTTTTACTCAAAAATCTTCTTTTTTTAATACTTTACTTTTTTCTGCTTTTTTTAGTTTTTTTTTTTTTGTGTTGTGGTTTTGTTTGATTTTTTTTCTTTTTAAGAGGAAAATGCATTTTGTTCTCTTTATTTTTCAATTGCATTTTCAAAATAAAACAAAACATTTGACACAAGTATACAACTCGTATTTTGTTTTGTTATAAATTAAATAATAAAACAATGTTAAACAAATTGTTGGATCCTTTACATTTTAGAGAGTTTAAAATGAGTTTTGTACTATGTACATTAAATGAATTGTTGACGATAATGGGAAAATGTGACTGCTCTAATTGTCGATGCTTCACTGTCGTTGTTGTTATAGTTGTTGTTGTTGTTGTTGTTGTTGTTGTTGTTGTTGTTGTAGTTGTTGTTATTGTTTGTATTGCTGCTACTGCTGCTTCCGTTTGCCGTCTTTTGGCTTACATCTGCAATGAAAAATTAGTTTCGTACAAAGAAATACATATATTTACCTGAGGACACTCGCGTAGCAGAAATCGAGAGCGTAGCTACCGGCACCTTGGCAAGGCATGCGCCTCCCACGTTGTCAGCAAATGGCGTTTAACAAGTTTCTGGCGTGTTTTTTATGTTTTTTTTTTTTTTTTGGGTTTAAGAGATTACTTACGTGTAAAAAGAAGGTTGCACTTTGGTTTTTTTGGGTTTTTTGAAAACCGGTTTTACACTATGCTTAAGTTTAATCAGCTAACAACTAATTAGTTATAACATGGTAATTGCTAATCTGTCTTTCTTTTCTTTGCATTTTTCATTGTTCTTGTATATTTGTTAATATACATACATATATACATAGATATTTAATTTTTTTGCACATACATATATTTACAATAATACCTTCCAAAATTTTTGGACAAACCAACAGTATATAGTATGTATTAACGAAACTTCTCATAGCAGTTAGATATGCCTTACGGCCTATCCTCCATGCTATGACAGTTATCATCACTTTTGCTTACCTTGTTGCAGTATGTGATCCTCTTCGTTGTTGTACAAATACAAATAACGCTCTTCCTCGCACAATTGCTCGGCGCGTTGCTCATCGGCGCTTAGGTAATCAAGACGATTGCCATAGCCACCCGGTGGCGGTTCGTATGGCGCCAATTCGGACAAGGCACCACGTACATCATATCTGTGTGTCGTCGTGTACCCAAACATACCAATAGGATTTAACACACGTCGACAGTGTTTACATATGTATGTTTGTGTTTTGTGCGCGCAAGGAAGTAGCGTACGGCGAATGAAAAAGAAAGATAAATTTAAATTAAAAACAAAGGTGTAAATAAATTAATAAAAATGAAAATGAAAAACAAATTAAAAACCAATAAAGAGTTGTAAATGTGCCATAAAATATATGAGAAAGAAATAATTTCAATTTAAATGCTTACATTAATTCTATGCAGCGCATTACAAACGTAACAATTTTTTAACATATTTTAAAGCACACTTTGACATTTACATACAAAAATATTTTTTTAGTGGTACAAAATGTTGTATACATACCGTTCCTGTTGCTAAAAAAATGATATTTGCGATAAAGTGATTATTAGAAAATAAATTTGTTTATAACACTACTTGATGATGCGAAAGTATGATGGTAACTTATTCCAAAGAGGTCATAGAACAAGCCAGTTACATATTATCTAAATCAATTAAAATCATTCTTTTTTTGATCGTTGATAAATTTCAAATTTTTTAGTCTTAGAGCACTTTGTGGTGTGTAGATATTTGTATTTGTGACCTAAACATTTCATAAGAATCAGCTCCGTGAAAATATATTTTCTAAATAAGTAAAAATTGCAAATGTGCCAATAATGAGCCCGGATGTGCAATAAAAAAAATCTTAGAGTTAAAATAACAGAAAGTTCATAAAACTTTTAAAAATAAAGTTTAAATAAATAAATAATAATAATAATCAGTAAAAATTTACTTCCGAATATCCGAAATTTCATACACCTTCGACGCACCTGGAGAAAATATGATGCAGATCTCACTTACTGGGGCACCAAAAAATAATGGCATAAAATTGCAAAATTATAAACACAAACACGCAAAACACTTGACAACATGCTTCAAAAAATTTAAATTATTTCAAAGTATTTTCCATACAAAACAACTTTATAATGTATACAAACAACGCGACCTTCTGGCTGTTTAAGACTTGTTCTTGTTGTGATTGTTTTGATGTTACTTCTTCTAGATTATATATTACTAGATAAGTACATATGTCTGTATGTTTGTACTACATACTGCACTAATTCACGACAAATTGATAAACGTAGATTTTACAGTTCATAGTAAACAAAAAAAGTATTAAGTAGTTACAAGAATTGTACAAAATCTTATTGTAGATAGCAACAATTATTAACCTGTCGATCTTGAGCGTTGTATCACCCATCCATGGTATCATATGCTTGCCCTGATCGATATCGCGTGCCTTATCATCGTCTCGAAACAGTTTACAAGCATAACCGAAAACTAGTAGGTCAACTTGACGCGCCTCGCCAGCATTCAATCCGGTTGTTGAAGGATTAGACGCATTGCTGTTGTATGTACCATTATTTGAGGAAATTCCACTGCTACTGCTACTGCCACCTTTACGTAGTATACCACCAACGCTACCTCCTGCATATTCGCGTACGGGCGGGCGGGTTAAATTGAAGTAAGACATTTCTTCCTCATACAATTCAGCTTTTAATACTCAAAAGTTGATGAGTAAATTTTTTTTAATGTAGCACACTATTCAGTTGCAAAAATTTTACAATTTTATTAATTTTTCTTTACAAAATTGTTTAATCCACAGGAAAGACTGGTCTGTCAATTATGCAGTGCAGCTGAATGCAAGTTGCCAGATTATATCGAAATGAAATGTTAATAGCTTTGCTCAGTGATGATAAAATTGCCGGTTTTAACGTTTCTGGTACCAATTGTATCGAAAATAAATACTTTGTCACTCGCATTGACCTTTGAATCGGAAAGAGAACTTCTTTTTTGTGATCATTATTAAAATGAAATTTTTATTTTAAATCTGTGGCGCAAATGCAAATACCGTTATCGGATGAGTGGAACAATACATTCAAAGGTATAGGCAAACAGTCCGCAAGCGGTTGAGTATAAAACTCGGTAGTGACAACATTGGTATGAAGTGAAGAGGAGCAAACTGTATGGTTACCCGAAAATAAATTGTGTGTTTATGGGAAATTGTATTATTAGTAAAGAGTGTGTTTACCAGAAAGTTAGTAGACTCTGTGTTTCAATGAAATAGCTGAACATGAACGACAAATCGTGAGACTTTAATTTAATAATATATTGATCGAAATCGATGGGTTTCGAAATTCATCGAGGCTTATTTAGCGAAAATCGCTACAATACTCTTTTCTTATGTTTCGTATAGTTTTGAAAAAGAATAACATTAGAGCCGATGACAGAAGGTTTTTTTTCCAGCGTTGCGTTTCAGACTGAATATTTTTCTATTGAGTTGGTTTCCTAAAAAAAATAGCTAAAATCTGTTATGTTAAGTAATTGCTGAACTAGGTTGAAGTTTTCGATTTTCATTGTTTAAAACTCGTGGAGGAATAAGACAATAAAAACAATTTAAAATTCACAAATCTACATGTTTTCTCTGAGACGTCAAAGTCAATATGTCACGCAACGTCCAAATGCCATTGGCTTATACTCTCTTAACCCGTCGTTAACGAACAAAATTGTTAAGGGATCGATTCGTTTGTGAATGCACTTTGCATTATTTGACATTCACCTGTGTAAACAAATCTAATAGCCGAACGCATTGAATTATAAAAATTACGCTGTAAATACAGAAAATTTAAGTGTGTTTTCAAGAGAAATCTCTTTGAGTTTAAAATGGATCCAATAGATCCGGAAGATCCCTTTTCAATTACACACATGGTCGGAGATTCCACCGAGGTGACTATAGAAGACATTAATCGCTTGGAGGAAGAAGATTCACTGGATGAAATTGACGGGCCTGAAGATGACTTGACCATATTAGAAATTGCAATGGTAAAAGCCATTGAAAATGTAAACCCCGCTTTTTTTATGCATCTTTTGTGTCCCCGTTGCGGTGAAACGTTTCAATCAGCGCCACTGTGGCAGCAGCACTTGCATAATGTACACTTTTTTAATAATTTGAAAATGTTACCCGGAAGAGTGGATGAAGGTGAATTTGTTGTTTCAGTTATTACTATTATTTAACAACTTAATTGACATTTTTTCGCCATTTCAGAAACGAAAACTTATCACTGCAAAAAGTGTCCTACTTCATATAATTATCTTGAATATCGTAAAATTTTTAATCACTGCCTATCGCATATGGCTTTTAATGCCTACTATAAATGCAGTTTGTGCGATCATTTGGAATGTACAACAGCGGATATGTCGCGCCATATCAAAAGGCACATGGAAGTGCATATGCTTAAAGCGAAAATAAACGGTAAAATGATACGTCCCAAACGCTTTTCTCTAAGTGAGGGGATTGATTATGAAAAGTTCCTACTTTATAATTGTCCGGAGTGCCACACTACATTTAGAAAGCACGACATTTGGTTGGAGCATGTTATTGACAGGCATGCGCTATTCGCTGCTGATAAACTAAAATTCAAAACACCAGACTTTGAGGAATTCATTGTCGACAAAACACATCTAATTACAACATGTGAAATTTGTAACGCCACATTGGCTGGCGACGACTTGCAACAGTGTCAACGTAAGCATTATCTAACTCATTTGAGGAATAGAGCTTTCCGCTGTGCGGTTTGTAATTTACACTTTAACTACGCCAAAGAAATCAAAATGCATATGTTATTATTGCACTGTCAGAATTTATCGACCTACGAGGAAGCGATTTTGCCGGGTAATTTACGACCGAAAAATGCGAAATTCGACATGAGTTTTAAGTTAAATCCCGACAAAGTTGCTAAATGTTTGCCATATATAGAAATTTATTGTCCCATTTGTGGTGTACAGTTGGAAAATACTGATGATTGGTATGCACACATAAATGAAAATCATGATTTCTTCAAGGCGCCATTCATGGCATTGATTATAACCAATTTTGGTGCGCCCACCGATACAAATAGAGCCTGCAAGAAACGACGGTTACGGCCGTACTGTGTAGTTTGTGATCGAGTGCTCGACGATTGCTCAAACTTTACACGTTTATGGGCAGAACAATTACGCCATGCACCCTTCAGGCCATACACATGCACCATTTGCCACGAGCAATATCATTCCATGCAGACAGTGATGAAACACTTTGCAACATTACACACAAATGCAGATGGTACTGTTAACACATTGCCAAAACAGCGGAAGAATGGCATACAATAACTTACATATATACTCACAATTTTAATTAGCAAATAAGTAAAACGCAATGTTTTTTTTTTTTATTAATAAAAAAATCTATTATTTAGTTGAAATAGGGATATTAAAATATCTATATGTGAATAACCTCAACGGAAATGTGGATAGAAATGCGGAAATTAGTCATTCCCAATAGATACTTACATTAGAAATAGAATTATAATCCTGCAGATTTAATTTTTAGCAAGCAGAGAAATAATTTAATTATTATGTTATAAACATTTATACGATTTTATGGATACATACATATTTGTCTGCTGCTATTCATTCCCTAATCAATATGTGCAAAAGCACTGCAAAAACATTTACTTAATTGAGAATAGTTCCATAAGAAGAAGAACACAAACAGCTGTGCCTTTTTCAGTAGCGCTTGATCATTTATTTATATTTTTTTGGATCATTCTTTTTAAACATTATGTCGAGCAAAAAACAGCAAAATACATTTCAAGGTAAAGAATGCTTCAGCCGTATGAATTTCCTATTTCAAGCGTCCATGCTAATGGCAGGAAGTAATAAAACTTTGGCAGCTTACTATGGAGAGCTGTGCAAGAATATTGGCAAAAAAGCGGTGCTTAAAATGTAAGTACATAATTTAGTAAATATATATTTCAATAGAAAAATTCTCTGCAGTGATCCGGATGTAAAGCGGCAACTATGCAAGCGCTGTTCATTGGCTTTGCAGCCGGGCATTACCGCTGATTTGGAAACTGTTTCACAAGGCAAGCGGCGGAAGTGCTCAAAAAATACACAAAACGTAGATGAAAATACAAGTTTGAAGCTGACTTGCCAACAATGTGGTTTCAAGAGAAAGTATTTAGTAAATTCGGAATATAAGTTTTGGTTGGAGAATAAAGAATCTGTGATGGAAACCATAACAGTTGAACAAGAAAAACAGAAAATAATTCGAAGTAAAGAGTCCAAAACGTTAGAAACATGAAATTCCTTGGATTTTTCAGTTGCAATAACTTAGTTATACATATGTACGAATACCATTTGGTATGTTAAACTTTTTCTCGAATACATATAAATATTATTATTAAGTAACTTTTCAGTATTATTTTAAATTGAAAAGAGTACCATGGATGACAACATGAAAGCATCGGATGAAGAGATCTAACCGAGTGCAGTCAAACGTCTGTAAGAATTAAATCGATGATGTAGAATAATTCAATTCTCAAGAGGTCAGTGAGGTGATATGGCTAGAGTTCATAGTTCACTCAATCCTATACTATAGTCAATATATTTCCCATCATACAAATTACATTTCGCACACCCGGTTTATGGCTCGATAACACCACGCCAGCGCGTGCAGAGAAAGAGCAAAAAAAGGGTTAAATACATTTGCATCTCTGTTATCACCACAAATAATACAAAAAAAACTTACTTATCAGCAGAGAACAGCCACTTTTCGATAAGTACAAAAATCAGCCCATATATTTCAACACTCAACAACTCATTCGACAATTGGCCAGAATAGATTGAGATGTTCACCAGACAATTAAATAGGAACTTATTGCATTTTTCGCCTGCTGCGTATCGCTTTCCGCTACTACGACGGCTACTTAGCGCATCTGTTACTGAAGACAATGTAGTTGTCGTACAACAACATCGTTGTGTTGAACCTTTGAAATTTCCCAGCGTTTGGCTGAGAGACAATTGCCAATGTAGTGATTGTTTTCATAAGAATACAAAGAGTCGTCAGGGCAATTGGAAGCGCACCAATGTGGAATCACGTATACGCAGCATAAACCGTCACTGTAGGCAAGATATGGTGACCATTGAATGGTTGGATAATCACAAATCAGAATTCCAGCTGCAATGGTTGCGGGAGAGAGACTTTGCGCCGTCTAGCCGCAATCGTTATATAGAAGAAATTTATAAGCCCGGCTATCAGTTATGGTCAAAGTCGGATTTTTCAAAAGTGCTACGTACATTTGAATTCCAAGACGTTATGGGTAGCGATGAAGGTGAGTGTTGAGTGTTGTGGAGTTGAGTGGAAGGGTTTTGTCTAATTAATGTATCTTTATAGTACTCTTGGCATGGTTGGAGTCATTAGCTGTACAAGGTTTTTCTATAATCAAAAACTCATCACATGATGTAACTGTTGCGAGGCAATTGGCTGATCGTATTGGCTTTATAAAACGAACTACGTACGGGTATGTGAACATTGCATTGACTTTCTACCGATTTCGTATAAAAATACTTATTTGAGCATACTTATCGACAGTGAAGAGTTTGAAGTGAAGTCCAAAGACGATGCACGGAACTATGCCTACATGATGACACCACTGCCACTACATACGGACTTGCCATACTACGAGTACAAGGCTGGCATCAACATATTACATTGTTATGTGCAATCACAATCAAACGGCGGCAGTAATATTATGACTGATGGTTTCTACATTGCCGAAAGGATGCGCAAAGAATTTCCGAAAATGTATGAAATTTTGGTGAAAACACCTGTTGACTGGTGTGATATTGGCCAAGATGGTGAACTAGCATTCCATAATATTTGGCGTGCCCCTACGATTTGGTGAGCACGGTACCTATGTACGTTGTTAGTTCGTGTTTAATGTGTTAGTTCTTCTTATAGCTTAGACGTTGATGGTCGTTATCATCGTATCAACGAAAATAGTACCAAACGAGATAGCCACTTCACGGTAGCTATCGAACAGGTGGTGCCTTGGTATGAGGCTTACGATAAATTCATTGAGCTCGCATATGAAGAAGCTGTTGAATTCAAAACTACGCCTGGTGATGTTTTCATCTTCAACAATTTGCGTATGCTGCATGGACGCACAGCGTATGAGGATTCGCCGGAGAACAAAAGACATTTAATTGGGGCTTATGTTGATTGGGATATTATATATTCGAAAATACGCATACTTAGAGCCCAAAAGGCTAATACATGTAATAGTAAATAAAAGAATGGAAATGAAATGAATTGCAATTCTTATCATCGCAATAATCTATTTAAATTTTTAAAATAATGTAAATGCTAGAGGTAATGGCATAGAAGTAATGTTTCTGCCAAAAAGCTAAAAAAAAATGGAAGTAAGCATTTTTTTACTTGCTTTGGTTTAAACGTTTGTGGGAAATTTTAAGTGCATTCAACCAGACTCATCTTGGCTGTCAAAGTCAATCTGTCACGCAACGCGCAGCAACCTCTGATCTGAAAGTTGCTTAGTCGATTTAAACACATACCTAGCACAATAGCAACTCTACACAGAAAATTGAAGAACAGCTGTTTTTATTAAATAGCAGAATTTATTTACATTTTGTTGTGGACATTCGACTTTGCTTATCTCTCTCCCACGAAGAGTATCCCTAATCATATCCAAAGAAAAAACTTTCTGCCGTGGTTTAAAATTTTTACTGTGCATTCCGTTAAAACAGCTAATAAAATGTCTCTGCGTCAACTGGTGGATGGCGACTGTGGTGGCGTCAACCCGCTCATGCAACTGGGTGGGCAATTCACACATGATGTCGCCCGCAAAGACGAAGGCTTTACGAGTGCGCAGTTTGAGCGCAGCATGCGTCCAGATGAACAAATGGTCAATGAATATCTGGGGCAAGTAACCGCACCACCACAGACCTTTCAAATGAATACATTGTTGCAGGAAATGCGTGAAATAGAGCAGGCGAACGCAATGCCACAATTGCAAAATAGCTTGGACATAGCAGTAGGTACACAATGGGCAAAAGAATTTGGCATACAACAGCCAATGCTGCCTTCACAAATGGTGCACATGCAACCCCGACAGCAGCAGCTAGTGCATGTACGTGAGTTCTTCGAGGAAGATGGCCCAGGCACATCTGCATCATTATTAGGTCAGGTGCCTATACCGTCGTATATGCCCATGCAAACACTGCCAACGCCATACTTAGCCATCTGTCCGCCTCACCAACCTACTACCGATACTTTTTTCGATGAAATCAAACCACTGACGAGAGAAGAGACCGAAAAACTGCTTCCACAAGCTTCCACAAAGGAATATGTCGAAGATTGGATTAATGACTATACAGCTAGAGCAAAGGAGCGTCAACAATCAGACAGCAGCTACAACGAGAGTTTCTGGCAACGGCTGCAAGATGAATGGCAGAAGCTATCCGAAGACTCCGAACATCCATGGTTATCTGAATATGCCGAAAATTATGATCCATACAAAGAGTATGAGTTCACTGAAGAAAACCCCATGGCTGATATGAAAAACGCATTGGCGAAGGGCAAGGAATACATGCAAAAAGGTGATATACCTAGTGCAGTGATGTGTTTCGAAGTTGCTGCTAAAAAAGATCCAGAAAACGCTGAGGCATGGGAGCTACTGGGCATCTCGCAAGCAGAGAATGAAATGGATCCACAAAGCATAGCTGCATTAAAGCGTTCCTTAGAGTTACGCCCAGATAACAATCGTGTGCTTATGGCACTTGCGGTCTGCTACACAAACGAGAGCCTACAAAGTCATGCATTACGTATGCTAGTCAATTGGATGCAGGTAAATCCAAAATACAAACATCTATTACAGCAACATCCCGAGTTGCAAACTGAGGGTGGTACTATGGCTTCCTCACTGATTGTGGGCAGCAAACTACAAGCAGTCCAAAATCTATTTCTCGATGCCGTACGTCTGAACCCGCAACAAGTCGACGCGGATGTACAGGAAGCTTTAGGCGTGCTTTACAATCTCTCCTCTGAATATGACAAAGCGGTCGATTGCTTCCGTGCCGCATTGCATGTAAACCCGGAGAATGCAAAAGTTTGGAACCGTCTTGGCGCAAGCTTGGCAAATGGCTCACGATCCGTTGAAGCAGTTGAGGCATACCAGCGCGCATTACAACTGGAGCCCGGTTTCATACGTGTACGTTATAATGTTGGCGTATGTTGTATGAATCTAAAAGCTTATAAGCAAGCGGTCGAACATCTACTTACGGCGTTAAATATGCAAGCGAACACTGCAGCGGCAAGAGATGTGCCAGCCACCACTAGAGACGTAATTGGTGGCGGTCAAGCGCAAATGTCCGAATCCATTTGGAGCACGTTGAAAATGGTGATCTCACTGATGGGACGTAGCGAATTGCACAGCGCTGTTAATGAACGTAATCTAGCAGTACTGAATGAAGCATTCATGGATACGGTTTAGTGGTGCGAGAGATTTGGGACTTTTATAATGTATGAAAATATTAAATCGGTCACATTTTATGTTTCACTTTTTCTGCATGATTTGGCAAATTATGTTAACAAATGTAATATTTATGGTGTTGGATTGTTTGGCAAGAACAAAATTGTATCAACTTAGAAATATTTTATAAATATAAATACTATAAATAAAATAACTATGTAAATTTTTATTCGGTTACTATGTGCAAAGGGGAAATAACTTTTCAAAGATTTCTATGTAAAAGAAGGAAAAAAAAATTAAATTTCTGTAATTATTTTTATTTAAATTGGAAATGTCCAGCAGCATATTTGTCAATTCTACTTACTGTTTTTTCATTGCTCGGTCCAAATGTTAATAAAGAAACTGTAAATTTTATACATACATGTAATACAAATATATTTTATTATGATGATTAATTAAAATTTTGCTACAATTTTATACTTAAATATTTATTTATGGAAATTATGTGTACTTTGAGGTTTATTGGCTGTGTTTAAGTTTCATTATTTTGATTATACATATTTTTTGTGTATTTAAGAGTACCAAAATATTCACGTCATTCGTAGGAACTGCAAATGCATCCACAATTCACCTGCGCCCAAAGTAATTACGGATATATCCAACGACAATCATTCCGAAACAGCAAGCAAGAGTGGCATACAGACAAACTCTGTTTTGATTTGGGTAGAAAATTTGTTTAAAAAATGTTTATGATAATAGATACATACAATTACTACATAAATGTCAAAAATTCTGCATACAACACAAATTATTAAAATTGCAAAACATTTTCACTCATAAACTACAATATATACATATGTAGGTAAGTATAAGATATTTGACAAATTTCGAAAACGATTGTTTTCGAATATTTCTACTATTATTTTAAGCAACCACACAACATTGTTTAGCTGGTGGCGCTAAAGCTTTTCCCGTGGCATTTGTGACTACTGTTTCTGGTATGGCTACAATTGATGATTGCGATTGCTCTGATTGCAGTGTTGTTGTAGTTTCTGGCAATTGTGGCAACAATGATGGCGTTGGTGATGTGCTGTGTTAATTGTTAACGGAAGTTGTAAAGGAAAACAGCATTTAAGCAAAACGCAAAAGCATAGCATAAAACAAATAAATCCAGAAAGAATGGTGAACATTTGTATGTGATGTATGTACTTTAATACATACATATACGATGCGGATATGATGGTGTCAATGCTTTTTATGAACATTAATTTTGAAAATGTTGCCTTTAAACCTAATTATATATGCACATATATGTAAATATGAGGCGCTGTGCGCTATGTATGAACTTACACATTCACTCATGTTTTGCAAAATTTCACTTTTTTATTTGAAAAATATTTGAAACTATAAAAAAAGATAGTTGAAATATTTAACACAATATAGAAAACCACCGAAAATTAGTATAAATTAAATGTAATGCAGTTTTTGAGAGAGTTTCAAAATTCGAAAACCTATAATTTCTTAACTTCTAACACGATTTTTGCATAAAAATACCAAATAGGATTAAAAGGATTTGATTAAACTTTAGACGACCGTATGCTTCGACCCGGAATCTAAATAATTCCAGTTCTAATCCGACCCCATTACAGTTGGACTACCGCCAATTATATTTTAAACACAAAAAAAAAAAATAACAAAATAACATGCTTTTCACAAATATACATCAACCGTTTATTTTCATAGATTTTTATGCACAATCCTCTAAGATACAATTTTGAGCAGATCTACGTTTAAAATTTTATTAGCGTGACTGCAAGGGCATATGGTTATCAGCAGCTGAGTGTTTATAGCTGATCTCAGTGAAAATTTTTTTGCACACACTTAAGACGATAACATAAATGTAATTGAATAATATGAAACTAATTTGCTTTTCATTCAATTTCTAAGGCTTGATGAGAAACATTTATGCGCTTGAACTGTATATTAATTACTGCAATGGGCACGCATAGGCATAGAATGAGTTTTTTATGAATTGTTTTTATTTGTTTTTCAAGAAGCAATGGCTGATGTATACATGCTATGGTATGAATGCATATACATACATATGTACATATAGCCATGTCTTTGTTATAATTGCGTAGTTGTTCAAAAAAAAAAAAAATATACATGCATAAATAGTAATTATGATTAATGATTTTTTTACATGCGAGTCCAGAAAGTAATGGCTTTTGACCGACACGTGTAGCGAAATGCAGTTAATTGCAGGTATGCTGTGGTTCCTTTACCAAGAATTTGAGTTATTTGAGTTCCAAATTGAATTGAAAATTGTTTTACCATTTACAAATGTACATATGTACATACATATGTATGCAGACCAAATTTCAGTCATTCTTGTTTTTCTTAGCGAAACTGGTTTTCATTTTTATTCTCTATCCAGAGCAATGGTTTTTCATGCAGTTTAAGGAAATATGTTTGTATGTACATATATTTTAGCTATTACGCCATTTTGTTTAGATCGTTGTAGCTTTTGTTAATTTTTAGTAACAAATGTAATCATGCTTGTTTAATAAACATTAAAATTAACTTAACCAGCAAAATCTTACCTTATGGCAGTTTGTGCAGCTGACTCCTCGCCACTCACAAGGTGACCGACGTAATATTTCTTGAGCATTTGTCTGTAAATATATTCATTTATATCCATAATATACACATTTGTTGGATTTACACTGGCTTACTTAGCCTCTTGACTATGTCCCACTTCATTAAATTGTACTGTAGCATTAAGGCCACCAACTTCATCCAGCGTTTCCTCACCTCCGGGATGCTGTATTCACGTTTATTATATATACATATATTTAATTGACAAAAGTTCTCATTACCTACCTCGTTTCGAAATTTGGTCACATTATACACCTTTCCTTCGATTGCTATCCACAGATCGTCTGGTTTATTGTGTTTTTTCAATTCTTCAAGGGTGACTAGTTTAAAATTATCCATTTTCTTAATTTAACACGAATTAATTTTTTTATTCAGTTTTTGCACACAAATTTAGTTCCCAGTCCGAATGCGCTATCAACGTAATCCAAATGCAACCAAAAGTATCTAATAAATGATAATGAATGACGGCTAGTGACTGCTGTGTGTATATGGACAGTGTTGTACTTAATATGTAATGTTGTTTGCCCGTTTGCTGAACAGCTGTATAACTTATATTCAGGGATGTATTTGTAGAGTATGAGGAGAATCGAATTGTCGTATACCTGAAAATTGAGAATTCCCTCTGCTAATGGACATTATAAGAATTTCCAAGAATTTGTGAAAAAGGTACTATTTCCAAGGATAAATATATATACAAATACAATTTTTTCACATCCTGGTAGTATGGTAGGCTAACTTAGGTAAGGGAAATTTTGCTTTTAATATAGTTGAGTGAGCAAAATTTAGGGAATACAAAAAATTTTATAAAGTATTCAGAAATAGGTATACCTGCAGCTCTCTAGAAAATGGGCTTACGAAATCATCTTAGGGACCGGAAGGAAGTATCATCAGTTTTGGTGACCCAACATAGCTTTGTTCGCTTCCAAATAATTACCGAAACTTTGATAACCAAATTTGCAGGAAAATTGAGTGAAGTAAAATATTAGAGAACATAGTCTCGAGCTCCTCGAACGACTGAATGATTTTTTCATCAAAATCTGTATTCATGTAAGAAATATGTACACCCGGCAACTGGAGAAATGTCATGTGAAATCCTAAAGACAATTCCTCCCTTTTCCATCAAACCTTCACAAAAAAAAAAACAAAAATTACAAATACAACAATTTTTTCTTGAAATGATGCATCAGATTTCTTTTATTTTCAACATAAAAAACGGTATTTCAATTTTTAATCAGAACTGATGTAAAAAGCTTTTAAATACAAAATAGAGCTAAAATAACGAGATACAATGAATACTCTTGAATTTTGAATTTGGTTTTCATTTTCTATTTAAATTTAGAATGCGCCTCCGCGAAGACGTAGCACCAAATGGAGGGTAGATTCCTTTTGGATGTTGTAGTCGGATAATGTACGTCCATCTTCCAGCTGCTTACCAGCGAAAATCAAACGCTGTTGATCTGGAGGGATACCTTCCTTGTCTTGGATCTTGGCCTTCACATTCTCGATGGTATCTGATGGTTCGACTTCCAAGGTGATGGTCTTGCCCGTCAAAGTCTTAACGAAAATTTGCATACCACCACGCAAACGCAGGACCAAATGAAGGGTAGACTCCTTTTGGATGTTGTAGTCAGACAAAGTGCGTCCGTCTTCCAGTTGTTTGCCGGCAAAGATCAAACGTTGTTGATCTGGAGGGATACCTTCTTTGTCTTGGATCTTGGCCTTCACATTCTCGATGGTATCAGATGGCTCGACCTCCAAGGTGATGGTTTTGCCGGTCAAAGTCTTTACGAAGATTTGCATGCCACCACGTAGACGTAGGACCAAATGAAGGGTAGATTCTTTTTGGATGTTGTAGTCAGACAAAGTGCGTCCATCTTCCAACTGCTTGCCGGCAAAGATCAAACGTTGTTGATCTGGGGGAATACCTTCCTTGTCTTGGATTTTAGCCTTCACATTCTCAATGGTATCAGATGGCTCAACTTCCAAGGTGATGGTTTTGCCGGTCAAAGTTTTAACGAAAATTTGCATGCCACCACGCAAACGCAAGACCAAATGGAGAGTAGATTCCTTTTGGATGTTGTAGTCGGACAAGGTGCGTCCATCTTCTAGCTGCTTGCCGGCAAAGATCAAACGTTGTTGATCTGGAGGAATACCTTCCTTGTCCTGGATCTTGGCCTTCACATTCTCGATGGTATCTGATGGTTCAACCTCCAAAGTGATGGTTTTGCCGGTCAAGGTCTTAACGAAGATTTGCATACCACCGCGCAAACGCAATACCAAATGAAGGGTAGACTCCTTTTGGATGTTGTAGTCAGACAAAGTGCGTCCGTCTTCCAGTTGTTTGCCGGCAAAAATCAAACGTTGTTGATCTGGGGGAATACCTTCCTTATCTTGGATCTTGGCCTTGACATTCTCGATGGTATCTGATGGTTCGACCTCCAAAGTGATGGTTTTGCCGGTCAAGGTCTTAACGAAGATTTGCATACCACCGCGCAAACGCAGGACCAAATGAAGGGTAGACTCCTTTTGGATGTTGTAGTCAGACAAAGTGCGTCCGTCTTCCAGTTGTTTGCCGGCAAAGATCAAACGTTGTTGATCTGGGGGAATACCTTCCTTATCTTGGATCTTGGCCTTGACATTCTCGATGGTATCAGATGGTTCGACTTCCAAGGTGATGGTTTTGCCGGTCAAAGTTTTAACGAAGATTTGCATGCCACCACGCAAACGCAAGACCAAATGGAGGGTAGATTCCTTTTGGATGTTGTAATCGGATAATGTACGTCCATCTTCCAACTGCTTACCAGCGAAAATCAAACGCTGTTGATCTGGGGGAATACCTTCCTTGTCTTGGATTTTAGCCTTAACATTCTCAATTGTATCGGAAGGCTCAACTTCCAATGTAATCGTTTTACCAGTTAAAGTTTTAACGAATATTTGCATACCTCCACGAAGGCGTAAAACTAAATGCAAAGTAGATTCCTTCTGAATATTGTAATCAGACAATGTGCGTCCGTCCTCCAATTGTTTGCCAGCGAAAATCAAACGTTGTTGATCTGGAGGAATACCTTCTTTGTCTTGGATTTTGGCCTTCACATTCTCAATGGTATCAGATGGCTCGACCTCCAAGGTGATGGTTTTGCCGGTCAAGGTCTTAACGAAGATTTGCATACCACCGCGCAAACGCAAGACCAAATGGAGGGTGGACTCCTTTTGGATGTTGTAATCGGATAATGTACGTCCATCTTCCAACTGCTTACCAGCGAAAATCAAACGCTGTTGATCTGGGGGAATACCTTCTTTGTCTTGGATCTTGGCCTTCACATTTTCGATGGTATCAGATGGTTCCACCTCCAGAGTAATGGTCTTGCCAGTTAGGGTCTTCACGAAGATTTGCATTTCGAAAAGTGCTAAAATAAACGAAACATATTTGTATATTAATGTATGATAAATTGTATTTAATTGTAAATCAATATTTATTAATGAAATTTACATTTATAAATTTTGCAATATTTTAAGGAAATATATCGTGGATAATGGTATTGAAAATTTGTACGATCAAAGTTCGACTGGTTAAAGCGAAACACATATATACGCACGACTTGTGTTAGCTACATACGTTTGCACTTGCATCAGCTTTACATTTCGAGAAAATTCTACTGAATGATTCATCACTACAATTAAGCCATTTTTAAAATACCAGTTATTCCACAATGTTTATTAAATATTTTTAAGATTAAATTCAATTTAAGAAAAATTAAATCGATGACGAATGAGGTCACGACGCCATTTTGAAATATTTAAAAGAAAAAAATCGATCGATTTCACAAGAGCTGCGCAGCTTGCATGTACATACACAATGGAAACGCATTTCCAGTTTTCACAAGAAAAATTATTATTTCACCAATGCAAAACATTTTTAATTTCAAAAACATAAAAGCATTAAAACACCGTTTGCATAACTTTTGCACTTACCTTAACCTCTTTTTTCACAAAAAATTAGTTTTTCAATTAAAATACTGGTTCTTCTTCTTTGCAATCCTTTTCAATCTCAGGCTACTTATTTTCTCAAAAATATTTTCTTTTTATATATCTATATATATATTTCTCAAGGCTCACTTATTTTCACAAAATTCACACAATAACAAGCGCTGGTAAATATTAAGGTGTTTAGCTCACAAATGTCAAATACCGTTTGTGCAAGAAGAAGCCAATGCCACCTTTTTATATCTTCTGCCAGATGTAGGGGAAAAATTTATAATTTCCCTTATATGCCTGGAAGTTGTGAACAATGGCTGCTATATATCATGAATTGCTTGTTAGCTATCTCGCTTATGTACTTCTTGTTTGGCTTTTAAGGCGTGCATAATTTCAGTACCATTTCATGTAATTTTCTCTCAATTTTACAAAACTTTATAAATTCATTGCCTTCAGTATACGTGGTTCATGGAGTACAGTTGAAACTTGCAGGAAAAAATAGTTTTTTACTCGTATTTGGTAACTGCGTACTAGAGAAAAATAAATTTTATACAATTTTTTATCTCTTTCGCACAGTGCCAATGGAACGGCTTGCAGTGTTGGTGGTTTATACAAAAAGTTCTGGATTTAGTTCCAAACATATAAATAAAATGCGAAAATGTATGTAGTTATTTATATGTTTGCAGAGAAAATGAGTGATTCATGAGCGTTTGTGTGAAAGTTTATCAAAGTAGACATTTTCGCCACCCGAATTGCAATCTTCAGCATATTTTGATATTTACTCAGATTTTATGCGTAGTGCGTTTTACAACACTCTTCGAGATTCATTCCAACGATGAGAAAAATATCCCCCTAAACATTGCACTGGAAAGTGGAAGTAAACGCATATATTTCGGTATCTATATACATATGTATGTATGTACATATGTAAAATAATATTGAAAGAGTTTTTCCTTCTACGTAGATAGTGACATATATAAATACTAAATTTATATAAAACAAAAAACAGCTGACAATCTTCAATTTTTGCAGTAAAGCGAAAAATTATAAAAACCTGATATTTATAAATATATTTATGTATATGCTTGTAACCACAATCGGATATTTGCTTAAAAAATGGACTGTTCTTGTATGTTCCAGAATAGGGGAAGTGGCCTGTTTCCTAATATATAATATTCATCATGATTGATTGTATTTAACCATGCATTTTGTGTTGTATTCATATCTGCTTGTATATGTACATGTGTACATATACTATACGCAATGAACTAATTAATTAAATTTCAATTTTCATAAGTACCTACCAACATTTTGAATGATAGAATGTCCGTCGCGCACGTAATGTACATGCGTATGTATATACAAATATAAAATTTATGTACGTATACATATGCATATGTATGTATGTATGTACTCACATTTCTTTGCTTAAACTTTTATTTGCTTGTAAGATGGCTTTTGTTCTATGTAAGTTATTATCACGTTGCAATTGCATGTGATTGAAAATTTGATGAAAACTTAGAAATATAATTTTATTTCCAAAAAAAATTTGAATGAACAGAATAAATAGAAATGTGTTCGAAAATACCTGAGCAGGCAAATGTTATTTACTTAAATACATCCATACATGTTTGAAGTTTTGGATTAACCATCAGAGAACTTAGAAATTTTCATTTCTCTGTAGCCATAAACTAGATTAAATTTTTATTTAACTTGCTACAAAGAGTTTAAAAAACGGAAAGACGCAAGATTTTTATATATATCTGAACGCAAATATTCACATTTGTTGGCATATACATTTGTATAATATACCCTGAATATATATACATAAATAAATATATATAGCAGATAATGTAAATAATATTTATTACACACACACTGTATATACTTAAATCTAAAACAGGGTTCGACCAGAGTCTGACATCAAATGAAAAATGATTTATCGATATTTTCTGATCGATTCATTTTCTGTTAAGCTGAAGCTGATAATATATATATATATATATATAATATATTAATATATAAAATATGTATGTATTAATATATAATATATTAATATATAATATATATATTAATATATAATACATATATATGAATATACGTTCCTTGGTTGAAGTTTGAAGGTCACTGAACTTTTTCGTCTTGTTATTTAAAAAATAAACTGGTTTTGTTCATAATATATTTATTATAATTTTTATCAGCATTTGTATATACACGCATATATAAATATGTATTTACTAAATAATAAGTATATAGAGATTTTTCCAACAACCACCATTTCCAATGCCATGCAGAATATAATGACTTTGTCCATTCTTTGTTGTCTGGGGATGTTTTGTTGGGAAAGAATATTTTTATATATGCGAAAAAGTAAACACATAGTTTTAATGTCCCTGCGTATGTATGTATACTTATATATTAATTCGATAATCATTGGTAGTCAAGCGGACAAAACGCTGACAAAGAGCAATTTGGCCTCAAAGAGATCAACGAACGTCCACAATGTTATTGTAAGACAAACAGTCAATGACGTTTCGAAGAGGAAGCAATTTGTTTATAAACACACACACATATACACATATATATATATATATATATATATATACATATATATATAAAATACTAAATAACAAAGTTTATAGAAGTACATAAGTTATATATATATATATATATATAAAAAACACGTAATTTTCGTTTCGAAGAAAGCGCAAAGTTATTGTTTATTTATACATTGTTTATTATAAATAATCAAAATGCGCTTTATTTACATATGTATGTGCTCACATATAGCTAACTAAAGCATAGTAGATTTGCTGCTAGCTTCAAGGTCATTTTATTCATATATATTTGTTATATATATATATACGTAGTACGTATTACGTACCTATAATTTGTGGGTTATCAGTACTGATAAGCTTTTACAGCTTTAAAAAAGTTCATCAACTCATGGGAATAAGTTTAATTTCAATAATTAGGCTAAAAATTTGTATATATATATATATATATATTTGTATGTGCTTAATTTGGCTAATATTAGAAACAAACATATATACATATTTGATAAGCTTTAATACAAACCATGCAGGATTTAAATAAAATTAAGTTCATTTAATGAATACCACTAGCGCAATGACTGTAATAAGAATTTCCCAGTATATTCCAAAATTGCCCTTCAAAATATGAAACATTTCTCTTTCTTCTTCTTCTTTTCTTCAACTTGTCCGGTTTTGACATTTAACATTTAAATCGAAACCGTTAGCTACCGACGGGCATTTTAATTTTGCACCGCAGTTGCTAATTTTAGTTATAATTATTTAGAAATACCCTTTTGGAAAATAAAACAAGAATATGGGTGCGCGAAGAAATGGTAAGTCTTTCTCAGATGCTTCGCTCTTATTAAGGCATTAACTTTGCCATTTTTGCAGCAAAGAAACGCTCCTTGGGCACATTACGCAATTTCGGACCAAAATTCAATCGAAGACTCAATCAAGGTTTATTAAATTTCCACTCTTGGCATGCTCAAGTGTTCATAGAAATTTTGGGCACAATGTTAACGGAGCCAGAATTTGTTGAGTTGGTATTCGAGCCGCTTACAGGAACTTATGCTCGCTTCATACGAAATGGTAAGGTGAAAGTCGTTACAAAAATTTCAAATTCATAAAAATCGTAATTTAATTGTTTTTCCGTAAACAGCACGCCGTAACATTTGGTCTGCGGCATTCAGTAACCGGCTTGTCGTGCGCGTCAAATATCGACGTCATGCACAGCGGCTGATTGAATTATTGGGCGCGATACTGTCAAGAGATCAATTTATCCCTATGGTTTTACAGCCAATCATTTTGACATACATTGAAATTTATACCAAACAGTTTTTGGGCTATCCAATAAATGACAGCTGTGAAGGATACGATGATGATGAGTGGAGCAGTGATGGTACTTTCATAGATAGTGTTTGGAATTGTAGTGCGGAGGCCTACGCTTCAACACCATATCAAAAACTACAATTTGATGAAAGTCTAAATAATACATGGGCTGTGAATTCGATGACGGCGCTTATACCCTTCGAAGCAAAGGATTTTTAAATCGTTGGTCAATCATAAATTTAGGTGGCAACAAATGATTATTTTATTTTTAATATCTGAATTAAAATTTTTTGTTTTAAGTAAATAGATTTTCAGCGAATTAATAAATTTATATTTAAGAATAAAGGAAAAACTCAAAAAGGCAACAAAAAATTAAAAAAAAAAAAACTTAAAACCTATTACAGCGTTTTTAATTTAAAGTGATATTAGAGCAAAGAGTTGGTGGGTATAAAATTAAAAAAAAAAAAATATTTTTACATGTTTGTTACTACTGGGAGAATCTGATCTCTACGATCTCTCTACACATATTTGAGTTTGAATTTTTTTCCACTTTTGTTTTTTATTCTAATAATATAAAAAATTCTGTTGCACAAAATCCCAAAATTTGAATGAAAAAAAAATTTGAATAAAATAAAATAGACATCATTCAAAACAAAAGAAAAGATGTCGAATTTCAATAAAATTTTCAATAGCACCACCATCACTGGACGCGCCAATGTGAGTAGTACATATGTACATATGTACATTAGTGTGTATTACAAAAACAATCAATTACATTTAGCAGGTTGCCAAAGCGACTTACGCCTCTATCGCTCTGCTCTACTTATACTATCGGGTGCGAAAACGTTCACCACCAGCAACCGTTAAATGCGAGGATTGTCCGGTGAGCAATGCACCGCAGACAGATGAGCATGACAAGAGTACTACTTGCGATGCGGAAACTTGGCAGCATGCAATTGAGGATGGTAAGGCGGCAACTAAAACTAGTGATCACACAACAGCGTTGATTGGAGAAAATGGCATAAGGGTGAATACAGTTGATGTTGCTGCGAGTGGAGGTGATGATGAGAAGGATGTGAAAATTTTGGGTAATATGCGTATGCAACACAAATAAAAGGCGAAAAGGAAAACATGCGGTAGCGCTGATAATTAACAACTGACTGACGTACATAGTTCTTATTTTGTATTGAAAATATATCTGATTTTTAAATAATATATAATAACATTTAATTTGACCAATTAATGGCTTAGAAAGTCTAGTAAATTTTCGAAATTTTTTATTATTGGAGTTAATGATTATCCCTAGATAGGCGAAATTATTTACGACCTCGAAGTTATTACTGTCCACAGTGACGTGGGATGAGGTACTTTTTTGATTTGAGATATTTCGTCTTGCTCTCGCTTCCCTTTCTTATCAATTCTGGAGCAAGCAGAACACGGCACAGTGGTTGGGCCCAATAATATCATCAGCGTACGCCAGCAGGTGTACAGTCATAAAAGATTTTACCTTCTCTATTCAGCTCTGCAGCTCGTATTATTCTCTCCAGCGATAAGGTAAAAAAAATGGAATTGTTATTAGTAAAAATAAATAAATAATTAAAAAAAAAGACGATTGATATTTATATAAAAAAGTATATACATATAAAAACTATAAAGATATATAAAAAATGGAATAGTATAAATATATATATAAAAATAATTAGAGTTCAAAAAGAAAAAATAAAAAAAATAAACGTTTAAGAAAGAAATAATAATAAATAAATAAAACATTTAAAAAATTACAAAAAAAAAAAAAAAATACATACATACATATGTATATGTAATTGTTGAATCATTAATAAAAATATTTAAATCTACATACATATATGTCTGCATATTCATGTGTAATATATAAGCTTAAAAAAACGCCTCTACTACTAACGGTAGTTACAGCTACAAAGAAATTATATACAATGAATTATTATTTTTATTTAATTTATTTTGTTTTCATTTAATATTTCATAAAATTGCATTGAAACGCTACACAACAACTGCATACTTTTTTTTCAATACATATTAATTAGTTTTAGGTAATTTTCCATCACAAAATACTACAATTCACTGCTGTTGCTAAATAAATTTGTTTCTTATTTTTTTATAATGCTTTACATACGTACATATAAATGTACATATGTATTTACATATTTAGTAAGCTAAAACTCCTTTAAAACTAAAATCTGTACTAAATTTGCTTTTGAAAAAAAGTAGTGGTAAAAGAATTTTTTTATCAAACCAAATAAATAAATAAATAAAATATAAAATATTATATTGAAATTTATTGTATAGTTGTATGTGTAAGAGCGTATGGTATGTCTCTAAGACTACTTTTCTAATTATAATTGAACATTAAATTATAATTTCATTAAATTTTTTTAATCATATGTATTTTTAATAATAAAAACTACTATATAAATATTTTAATTTTACATATTTAGAAGCACAATTATAATGACTATTGTGTGAAAATAAGTTAAACTAAATTAAATAAAAAAAAATTCACTTTTAAAGTTAAAAAAAAAAACTTAATACTATGATTTCAAAAATGCATTTCAATATTTTTAATTGCTAAATTAAAATATGTAGGTTGCTAAAAAAAATATATATGTATATCTGAAATGGTCGTTTACCAAAAACAAAAAAGAAATTTTAATTGCATAAAAATCAAAACTTTTTAAACATTTTCGTTATAGCTTTTTACTTAAACTAAAAAACAAGTTAACTATGTTATTAATAAATTACAAAAATTGCAAAAAAAAAAGAAGAAACTCTTCGATTTTTACTTTAAAAGTTTTCTTTTCATCACATTTCTTCGACTAAAATTAATACATATACATATTTTTGGGTAAATGGAAATTTATAAAATAATTATTTTATTTTTATTCGATTAAATTCATTTGCAAAGTTTAGCATAAAAGTTTCGTAACTGTTTTTATTAATATTTTTTTCTGTTTATTTTTATGGAAATTGTGAAAAAAAAAACTAATACATAATAAATTCATTTAATGCACAAATATTAATGAAATTCCATAAAATATTATGTTTTCAATGTGTGTGTGTGACGAGTGAGAATACATATATTTGAGTGTGAATGAGTGTGCATAAATTTTTAAAAACCAATTGTTTGGTCTCTCAATTTTCGAACGCAATAAAATTTATGAATTTAATACTCTTTTGAGGAATTTTCTTTTTTACAGTAATTTTTTTTGTTTTTCGTGATGCCACACATTGTGTGCTGATTTATGCTGTTAAATAAATATATGTATATATATATATAGGTATGTATATTTATGTTTGTATATTGCATTAAATAATTCGGTTAAACATCGACCAATTTTCATATTTTCTGAGAAGCCTTTGAGGCAATTTTATTTAGTTTCGTCTTCTTTGGAGGGGCTTTCTTTTAATTCGCTTCGCTTACGTGGGATCGTATGGGGGTTTTATTTGTTTTTTTGTAAGGTGCTGAAAAGCAAGATGAAAATTAATTAGAAAATTTAAACTTTAACTCTTTTTTTTTTTAAATCATAATTTTGTATATTTCGCAATGCACTTACCAAACTACGTTCGCTGCTACTACAAACTACATTTTTTATTCACAAAATTCATACTTATTTAGGTGTAGGCGTATTTTGTTAATGCTTTTCCAATAAATTTATATAATTTTCATAATTATTTAAATCAATATATAGTATATATATATTTTTTTTTGTTTTAAGTGAAACCCAGTTCACGCTCCACTTAGAGTAGTTAAATTTTGATTTAGGCCTCATTACTCGCAGCCGATTCTAAATCGCTGTCATCCTCACTGCCCGTCGCTTCGGTGGGATCACCCATGGCAACGCGCGCATATTCATCTGTGTCAATACTCTTGCAGAAATGTATGGCATATTTGAGCTTCTCTAGTAAAACAGCCTGTGAAAGGGTGAAGTATGGTTAGAATTTTGGTATAACAAAATGAGTTGGTACGAAATTAATACAAATAAAATTTTAAAGCTATATTTTAAGAGACAATTTTATTTCGAACATTCTAATTTTTATTTCGATTTTCGAATGTGTCTTAATTTGGAAGAATATCAATTTTTAAGACAACTTTTGTTTGCTCGAATTTTCGAAAATCCATTTTCGAATTTACCATGTTAAGTTTTTTTTTTTTTTGTTGGAAATGCATTAGTTTGCAGCACAGAAACAAAAAGAACGAAATTTTTGTGAGTCATATTTTATGAAAAAATTTAATTTCGAATTGTCGAATTTTTTATTTCTCTATATTTTACTCAACTCAACAACTATTTGAATTTGTCTCATATTTTGGACCGTACGATTTTTCGAAGTTATTTTTTTTTCTTGCTGCCGCGACAACGTTTGGTAAACGAACTCACCTTGCAAGAATAGCGCGGCATTTTCAACAAGAAGAAGCAAGTATAACTCTCCGGTAGAAAACTATCAGGTGGGCTTTTTTCCAAAACCTGCAAAACAAAGTCACGTCCACGAAAATCTGCAATGGTACGCGGTAGGCGTGTGCGACCCCATACAAAGCGTAGAAATAGGGAACGTTCCTGTGAAAAAGGATAAAATAAGATTTGAAACGAAAAAATTTCTAAACTTGCACAGACCTGATTTGAGAACTCTTCCATCACTTCCCAAAACCATGTAACCAACGCCGAATTCGGATCGAAACCTTTGTATGTGGCCACAGACTTTAACAGTCCCAGCGGTATGTCTGGTGAGCCGCATACCATCGCTTGCAGTTCAGATGCCGAGAAGAGTGACAGCAGCGGTACAGGTATCACTTTAGAAATGCCGTCGCGCACAGCTTTCACTTGCTCGTCAAATTCATGCAGACGGAAATTCAAAGCCAGACGTACGTATTCTTGACGATTTTGTGACGTGATGCGAGTGTAGCGTGTCGAGAGAGGCACCTCGTGACCCTTGGCGGAGGAGGTGGAGAAGGGTAGCTCTAGTGTGCTGAATACCTTGGGGTCATCGTCCATATTGCGTATACAAAGCAAACCGGCGACATAATCACGATCGACTTCGGTAAGATCGGATGGACGTAGTTGTTCCCCGGCCAATTGACGCCAGACGGCTTCGGCTAAACTATAAGAGAATAAAACAGTTATCTTTTTGCAATACGCGCAATCGTGCACAGCATACTCACTTCAAACTCAATGGCGAACCAGTGCGTACAGCTATGCCCATGAGCACGCCCAGAAAGCGGAACATGTTCATCTGCAACACGGAGCCAAGCGTGGGATCCAGCAAGAAACAGTCACGATTGGCGCCCGCCTCGCCGCGTCCGTTAGGTGTTGTTATCAAGAGTGGCACACTGCCGTTTTGGAGCTCATCGCACATTTCGGCAATCGACTCGCTATAGCCGCCGCCACAATCGTCGACGCTTTCGCCGACGAACTTCACTTTCCAAACGCGATGCGGCAGCGAGAGTGCTTCTTGGGTGAGTAGCGGCAGCTTCTGCACCATCTGACCAAATACGCTCTTCATGCCATCTATACCCGCAAGACCGTTGCCCGATTTGTTGCGCGAGCGTTTAACTTGTATGCGATTGAGTTCAATTACGGGTCCGTGTTGTTTGTCTCGTACCATAGTCGTTTGTATGACTTTACGGAAAGCCGCTTCTTTGATGGTATAAACGAGGACATCCTTCAGTGCAATCAAGCTGAGCTCGCCTGCAAAATTTGGTGTGAAAGACGTTAGCTTCCGTTGTGATTTTAGAAACATGAATTAAACTCACCGATTATGGGCAGCATTGCCAGACAGGGGCACAGCAGCTCTGAAAAGTGGTGGAGTAGCACTAGACGTGCATGTAGCGCCTCCGGTGGCATCTCTCGCACCAAATCGTATTCGAGCGGTGGATTGGGTGGTGGTCGCATACGATCGGTTAGCTGTGAAGTGGACATAGCAATAGTGTGAGCCGAGCCGCAAGTTACTTTGACAATGTGTTTGTTCTGCAGCGCGGCCACGAGACGCGGGCGTTGTATGGCGCTTACAGTACCATCACCTAGTTGGCCCTCGTCGTTATCACCCCACGTGTACACTTCACCTGCGTCGGTGCATGCTACACAATGTAGCGAGCCGGTGGCAATAGAGACGATTTTTTTACCCTGTAGTGCTGCTACCTTTTTGGGTCGGCGGACATGATCCACAGTACCGTGACCGAGTCGATGGAAATCTCCCTTGCCCCATGTGTAAACAGCGCCAGATTTGGTAAGCGCAACCGAGAACTGTGAGCCGCATTCAACTTTTGTAACTCCCAAACCGGCGAGGCTTTCAATTTTATACGGCAATTTGCAGCCATCTGAGCCGCCACGTCCCAATTTGCCGTAGTCGCCATCACCCCAACTCCAAACGTTGTCGTCATCGGTAATACATAGGGTTTGAGCATCACCTGAGCCACATGCGACATCAATGGCGCGGTAACCCAGTAGCGCCTCAACTAGTTTTGGTCGCAGTTGATCTTCCGAATCGCCATGCCCCAAACGTCCGTATCGTCCTTTGCCCCAAGTGAGCACATGACCCGAAGAGGTTATTGCCGCAGAGTGAGCGCTGCCGCAAGCGATATCTACAACGCCAACGCCATTGAGATCTTCAATTAATTTGGGTCGATCATAGCTCATGCGATTCCCATGGCCCAGCTTGCCATCCTCACCCTCGCCCCAAGAATACACCTCGCCATCAGTTGTTAGAGCGAGACAATGTTTGCCACCAGAGTTCACAGCTACTTTTTTCACAAATACATGCTGAAGTGAGCCAATTAGTGTTGGTATGGCCCAAGAATCTGTACCGCCTACGCCGAGGCGTCCACCCGAACCATAACCGGTAGCGAAGCACTTACCATCAGGTGTAACCGCGAAGAGTGTCTGTTCGCCGCCCGCTAATTGTACAGGTCGCAACAGACTCAGAGCTTCACATGGCGTTGGCGTCTTAATGCGGCTACCTTCCAAACCGCCCAGCTGACCGCGATGGTTGTGTCCCCAGCCATAGATGGTGCTAGCGCCGCCCCAAGATAGAGCCCAGTCATCCGGGCGCCGATTGAGCCACTGCAACAGTTGATTGTCGTGAGCGGCCTTGAAGACCGTGTGATCCTCGTGCATAAAGTGTAACACTTCGTTGCCAGTAGGTGGCGCTAGTGGTGGTAAGCTTGAACAAGCGACAGCGCCAGCACTGCTGCTGTTCGGCTCGTGCAAGGAAAGCGACATCATCGAGTCAATATATTGTATGAGATTGCTTGAGCTGGGCGTCAAAGTGTTCACCATTGTCGAGCTCGTTGGCGGTGGCGGTGGAGTCGGATTGCTGTTCGTACTGCCTGCAGACGACAGCGAAGTGGTCGAGTTCATCATCGAAGCGATGCTACCAGCACCGGGCGAATGACTTGGCTGTGGTGCAGGCATCATCTCGGCGAACTTTTTACGCACCTCCATGCAGAATGGACGCGGCAATTCGGTGCGTTTTATTAGCGACTGCGCAACTCTCACGGCGATACAGTACCTCTTGAACCAAGCCCATTTGTGTACGTCAGCCGCAGGCAGAGCAGCATCCAATTGCATGTCACATGCGAGGGCCGCTAGCGTCTTGAAGTAGTCAGAATGCATGAGATGTACTCCGCCGCGGACTTGAGGCTCTTCGTACTCATATTGCCGCAATAGTTCCGGTATTAGTGGCAACAAAATTGTGTTCAAGGAGGGATCCAATGGTTTTGGGGAATGCTTCGATAGCAGCACGGTGTGCAGTTGCTTGAGTGACCAAATGCGTTGTGTTGTCGTGAGCGAGTTGAGTTGTGCGCAAGCGGCCAATGCAGCTGCTAGACGTAACAGCACGCTCGTGTTATGCGGTCCAAGGCGCTCATTCAACAGAGCCATCACCAGTGGCATTGATGGCTGTGAGAGCACTGCGCGATCCGAGCCGCGTTCATGCAAAGCAGTCGGTGGCATAATAGCATGCACCCAAAAGCGCCAACCCCAGCCGTTAACAGAGCTGTCCGAGGTGAACTTCCAACGCATCTCGTCGCCGGGTATACGCACTTCAGGTGCCCATAGTGCGTACTCACGGCCAGAGCGAATGGCGATTAAGCGGCCTGAGCCATCCATGATGGTCAGGGGATCGTTTCGTTTTTCCGTGGAGCACTGACTATCGAATTCTAAGCGTAATGACTCTGCGCCCGGTATCTTCACTGTGCCAACTATGGTCATATTGTCTACATACGGATGGGTACTCTCACGCATCACAGGCTTTGGTACTTTGCCCAAACTATAACGCGATGTGCACAAATCCTCCAGCTCCGTAATACAAGTCTCCAGAAGCATAGCGCCAATGGTCGGCGAGTTCGAGCCGAGTGCAATGAGCGTGTCGGAGATGGTATTCGCAGTACTGAGTGGTCCTGTACGGCCGGCCACACTCAGTTTCAGCAGTTCCACTAAGCTCTTAGCTTCAGATTCGCCTAGCAGTGAGGTGAAATCATCCAAGCCGGTTAGACTTATCTCCTCGATAATCTCCTCTTGGTTGGTCATTGTTGCAGCGAGAGCCGACATAGCGCTGGCGGACATTTTGGAATGTTTGTGTGGTGCATTGCTAGATATAGATGCCGAAAGTGAAAGCGAGCCAGTCAAGCTTTGGAAAGCGCTCAAAGGTCCGGCAGGCGCGGGCACAATTTCCGCTTCTGGTGAGGGTTCATGTACAGCCGGATCGGTAGCATCGGCTGGCGCTTCACCGCCGCCTTGTGCGATAACTTCGTTATTGCCGTTGATATTATTGTGGCCACCCAAAGTGCCGTGTGGAGTGTGGCTGGTAGCGCCGGTGGACCCTTCCTTACCTAATATAGTGTTGCTGCCTTCCTGTACATCGAACTCGCTCGAAATTTTCTCATTCAAATTTACTTTACTGTGACTCGTCAGGGCGGCAACGATAAGCTGGCGGGCCTGCAATATGCTCATGGCATTCAGTACGTAATTGAGTGCGGTCTGACGCGCGCCGTCGCTCTCAAGTGAGAGCAGCGTTTCACTAAGGCTCGTGTTCGATTTTGGCCTAGAAGAATTTGATGTTGATGCACTCAATTGCGATTCAGTATCATAAATGCCGAGACTGCTACCACCAAGTGGATCTTTGGGGGTCGCAAATGGTACAGGGCCTTTTTTCTCGTCCTCCGATGGTGATTGCGGCAAACCCCAGGCGACAGCGTGTGAACTGCCGCAAGCGACACGATTGACAAACACCGAATCCAAGCCAATAACCAGCGCCGGTTTCTTATTCACCACAGTGTTGCCAGAACCCTGTTGGCCGTGGTCGTTGTCGCCCCACGCATACACTTGTCCGTTATCGGTAACAGCCAGGCAGTGCAGGGCACCCACTGCGAGGTGTATGACTTTACGACCGCGCAGCGCTTGTATGGGTTGCGGTTTGCGTACGTGTTGATCACTACCGTGACCCAAACGGTAATAATCACCCTTACCCCATGTCCATACCTCGCCGGTGCGTGTAAGCGCGAGACTGAATTGTGCACCACATTCAATTTGAATGACACCGATGCCGGTCAGACGCTCGATTTCATGTGGTATCGAAGAACCTTCCGAGCCGCCGCGACCCAGTTTGCCAAAATCACCATCGCCCCATGAGTACACAACACCGTCTTCAGTTAGAGCAAGAGTTTGTGCGTCACGACTGCCGCAAGCCACTTGTACAACACGTTTGCCGCCCAAAGCAGCGACTAATTTCGGTTTCAGCTGTGTAACATTATCGCCATGTCCTAGCCGCCCGTATTCGCCCAAACCCCAAGTATACAGCTCGCCGGCCGACGTAATAGCAGCACTGTGCGATGAGCCGCATGCAATGTCACGTATCTTTTTCGCACGGAGAGACTCAATCAGCTTCGGCTTGTCCATGGTAAGACGATTGCCATGACCGAGCTTGCCATCTTCTCCTTCACCCCAAGAGAATACCTTGCCGTCCAATGTCAAGGCCATCGCGTGTTTGCCGCCGGAGTGCACAGCCACTTTCTTAACGACATATTGATGTAGAACCGGTATTTGGCGCGGTACGGATATATTAACGCTGATGCCCAAACCAAGCCGACCGTTTGTACCCTCGCCACAAGCGTACACCTTGCCATCCTGCGATACGATGAATAGAGACTTTGAGCCGCCTGCAATGTGTATAGGTCGCAGACGACTAATGGTTTGCGAGAAGGTTGGCACTTTCACTTTGGAGCCTTTGAGACCGCCTAGTTGCTCTTTGTCGTTGAGACCCCAAACCATCACGGTGCAGGGTGGTTCGCAGGGTGTTGCTGACGATTTGGGATCGATGTTGTTATAGGCGCTTGAGAGAGAGTTGGAGTCAGTCATTTGCTCATATTCGCAAGCGAGGAACGAGGCATTCATTAACACTAAATCGAGATCGGTTTGTTTGCGACGACCGACGATGTTCAATCTATGTATTTTGCACTGAATGCCATTGTTGCGGCACTGCTTGATAACGATTTCGATACAACGGTAGTATTGACGCACATCACTCATGAGTTTAACTATCCTGTCGGTATTTTTGATGGAGATCCATGTGAAGTCCTTCAGATTGCCAATGCCATCGCCAACACGTACCACCACCAACGAAGGCTGATGCGAGTTATCATTCGGATCGACCACAATAGTAAGGCTGTGCACAAAAATATGCTCGTGTATCTCCAGACGGATCCAATGCTTTGACTGACTGCTCGAAGAGCTGTGCCAGCAGTGAGGACTGCGATCTAGTAAGTGTTTCGCGGTCTTCTCGTTGGAGGACACTGAGAGCGAATGTAGGACACGCGACCAGTCTTCAATGAGATCGCTGGGTGTAGGTACCGTACCATTGTTGAGACCATGCAGCGCACCTGCTACACCGACGACTTGGCCGCCACCACCTACCACTTCAAGATCAGTTATTGTGCCTTTCCAGCTGGCATGTTGTGGAAAATCGACGGTCACATCCTTGCCACGCACGGCGGTCACAGTGCCTACGCTGCCTCGCAGCACATAGCCCCACTTGTAACGCGAGGCGGCACGCAGACGTACTTGTGTGCCAACGATTACCTGTACGGCGCGATCGGATGTCGACTTCTCACGCGGCATTTCCAGCAGTTCGATATGCACAAAACAGACCCAGTAGGTATTACCATGTAACTGCCAGTCCACTTGTACGTTGAGATCATGTAAACCCTCTGTGTCCACTTTTAGCACAGTGCCAATATCACCTTTTTTAATCTCTTCAAAGTCACGACAGCAGCGTACCAGCATACCGGGACAAACCAGTCCCCGCACGTACAACGCATACTGATCGACCGAGGGAAAGTCTTTGCGTGTCTCAAACTTGACGAATTGTTCGTGTAGGGAAGAGCCCTCCACCGTGTCGGAACTGCTCTCCGAACTCTCATTGTCCGAATCAGCCTCGGGGTCGTGCATTGTCTGCAGTTTCGATTGCAATGAAGTGTCGCTAGAAGAGCCTGTGGCCGCCGAGTTACCGCCAACCAGCGGTGGCTCTAGATAATCGGTTGTGTCAATTGTGTTTGCGCAAACGTCTGGGTGTTCAAGTATCCATTGTACAATTTGCTCGGGTGTTAACAGTATATCCGGTTGCATAGCTAACTGCTTGATTGCTAGCTCCACACACTTTTTCGAGAATCCCATCTCCATGATTTGACCGATAAGTGGTGGCGTATCGTTGTCGGTCTTCGGCGCAGGCGGTTGGTCACCGCCCGTAGCCTCTTCTAGTAGACCCACATTGTAGATTGCTTCACCATGTACCATTGTGGGTTGCATTGGTGGATTAGCGAATACGCCAAAACGACCAGCGCTCGTTGAAGCATTTTCATTGAGTTCGCAGTAAATTTTGGCAGCGAGCACTTGTGCACAGCTCAACGCTGCAGTTGACAAGTCCTCGTACGTATAGATCGCTTTAATCGGTGATGGCTGCGTAGCGCGAATCAAAATACTCTGTATGAGCAGTTCAGTGTCACTAATTGTAGGTGGCGCATGGAGATCCTCGCAGTTCTCCAACGTAGTGCTACCACAAGCGCCTTCTCCGTTCGATTTGACGTCTCCTCCAGTCTTTGCATGTACGGCGGCCTCTTCCGAGAGACTCTCCTCCGAAGAGTAAGCACACAAGCCCGGTGAACGTTGTCTAAGTATCTTTCGTAACGCAGCCTGGTGACGATACAGCACACAATTCGCATTCAAGACGGACAATTGAATTTGCTGCGCACGCAGTAGACTGATGTGCACAAGGTTCGGCATGCATTCCTTGCGTTCGCCGGGCCCGAAGAGCAACACAGCCCAAGAGTTCAAGAGCATTTCATTGAGTGGCATACGCGAGAGGCTAAATACCGAATAATCGGCGCATTCAAAAGCATCATTCAGTGAAATCTTACGGAGCTCTCCATTCAGTAGTTGTCCATCAGTGCTGAGCAAGCACTTGCCCTTTTTGGTGAATCCACAAATAGTAGCACAGTTGCCCTCATAACACACCTGCAGGCCCACGCGAGGCCGTATATCGCAGCCGCCTATAGTACAGAGTACGCCCATGACGTAAATGTACTCGCTCTCCAAGTGTTGCAACTCCAAGCCATCTTCGCCGAACAGCTCCGCAGCGACGCAAAGTTTCTGTGCGAGAAATGAATTAATCGCCACATTCCAATAAGGTAGCGTATGCAGACGTCGCAATAGGGTTATAATCTCCTCGGCGATTGTGCCGGAGTGTGAGGAGGTGACGAGCACGCGCGTCTTATTTTCACCTATAATTTGCGTCAACGAACTGTCTAGGGGACAGTAGAGCGTAATCTTACCTAGCGTTGAGAAGAGCTGACGCACCAGCACGGTCATGCGTTGTGTATGCACGTCATCGGTCCAATGCATAAGTACGCTCTGCAGCAAGCGCAGACAGTGTATGTTGCGAAAGAGATCTTGTTCACGCGTCACTGGCTGTTCGAGCAGGCTGATGTAGAAGTCAATCCATGTGGGTGAGGATAAATATTTGGCAAGTGATTTGGATTCACCTGTGCGAAAACGTGAAAAGGGAGATAGTGAAAAATTACACAAAAAAAAAAGTTTTCAAACCAAAACTCACCTGCAATGGCTTTCAGAAAACCCAAGGTGGTCCAATTATCCAAACCGTAGATGTTGCCCAATGCCGAATTGGGATCGAGAACGGAACGAAACATCGAGGATATACAACGCACGGCATTCTTATCCATCTGTGCGCTATGAAGTCCAATGCCTATGGAAATAATCTGTAGGGTCTTGGTGCAGGCATAACGTAGCAATTTTGTGGGATGCGACGCGCCACTCAATGCATCACTGCACAGTTCGTCTTTTGCGTTTTCGCCATCGGGTGAGATTACGTTCAAAGCGCTTTCGGCTAAACGCAGATCGTATTGACCCTCCTTGCCCATGCGGTACGAGTTTGTGGCACCAGTATACCACTCGACACGGACCCATCTGATGCGGAGTACGAGAGAGAAAGTAAGGGAAAAGGAAATTCAAGTTAATGCGGAAGAGAAGAGCAGCTGTTCCAATAAGAAACATGGCGGATAAGCACGCCCGATCGAGTTCTTTGTTCTATTTTCCTTGACGTACACTCAAGTGCAAATTTCATAACTCGTTTGAAAATAACAGTTAGGGAAAAAAGTTTTGATTTAATGACTTTTAAAACAAGTTGTGCCGATTTATGTCGTAAAACTTTCGTACTCACCCATCTTCGCCAACTTCGCTAATAATGCGACCCTCTCCCGGCGGATTGCCATCCTGATCACCCCATTTCCAGTCAACGCCCCGTACAATGCGCGTGCCAATCTTCATCATCTTAGCCAGCTCCGCTCCGGTCAAGTTGGCCTTATGCGATTTCTGCTTCAAGATCGTATCTTCATAGACCACAGAGAGGTCGTAAGTGTTCTTCACAGTTGGTACTTCAGCACCAGTTTGGCTAAGCAGGCCGAGCACAGTGCCCAGGGTGCCGTGATTCACAATCAAACTCAACTCATTTGCGCTCATGTCCTTGGCTAAGATGCCGAAAATGCTGAGCAGGAATCGTGCGCGTGGTAGCTTCTTCAAAAACACATAAGTACCCAGATTGGAGTTGTCCTTATCGTTGCCACTATTGTATTTGCCTCTAAGCTGTATAAGCTCTTGGTTGACCAAACGCTGGAGTTCGTACACAGCCCATTCGAGCACGCGTGATTGGGCGAGTAGTAGATCGGCCTTTTGAAAAGCCGTTATCATGTTGAGATCGTGTAAAACGTTGAGTGTGGCCTGCTTGCTGTTGCCGCTCTTGAGATGCAAGCCGAGGTAACCGTTAAGCATGTTGTATTGCACAGCATCGAGTAAGCCATGCACTTGCAGCATGCCGTGTAGCATTTCGAGGCCCTGTCGACGTATTTGATAGCGCTGGACTTGGCAGTACATGGCGCGGCGTACAGTCTCCACGTCGCAGACTTCCTGCATCACAAATTCTACAATCTCTTGCATGATGGGCACATTAAGCTCCCCGGAGAAATACCATTTCTCGCGGAGTTTACGGAGCAGGTCATTATTGAGACGCGGTTCGTCTGATGGTTTCTTGTCTTCGTCGAAGTCGAGTTCGTTCGCTTGTAGTTTGATCTCTTCATTGGAGGTTTTGCGTTCGCTAAGCATGACGTTGTTTTCACCGGCATCAAGCAGATTTTCATTCGAGACATTGCCACGTAGGGGCGGTATAATGACCGTGGCGCTGGTTAATGAACTACTCTCATTTGTAATGACGCCCGAGTCTTTCTCAGCTGTGTCTGTATTGGCGCCATTGCTTTGCAGCAGTGATTCCTGTAAGGGCAGAAAAAATTAGTACAAAGTAGAAGTTCGGATGGCGTATTATTTAAAGCCGGCCAACTCACGTGCGACTGATGCAGCTTCTGTGCAACATTCTGGCTCTGAATGGTTACATTGAATATGTCTTCGGGCTTGCAGCAGGCGAGTTGTTTTTTCGCTCGGCGCATTTCGGCTATTATACGACGTACGACATGTCTGAAACGCGGCAATCGGTGCAGTATGGGCAGCTTACGTAGCGCCTCCTGCTCCAAACTCACTGCAGGGCGCACTTCGTACAAGAGAAAACGTAGACGTTCTAACATTGGTGCGCAGACTTCTTTGTAGCTGCGGTTCAATTGCTGCCGTATACGCACCACAGACCACTTGGTTTGATAAATGAGACGTATCATATCGACAATTTGTTTGGGTGTTTTAGCAACTGCGACGCCGCTCAGCTCACGTTCCAGGACGTTTAGTACAAGACCGCCGAGACTCTGATGACGTATTAGTACGGCGGTTAGCAGACGCTCCAACTCCTGCACGGGATGTTCGTGTGGAAACTCTTGATGCCAAATGAGATTGTTTTCTTTGCAGTAACGCTCGGAGAGTGTCATCCAAGTTACAACAAGGGGATCCGTTAAACGAGCTTCGCTTAAACCAGCGACGAAACCCTCGATGCGGTGTTGTACGCTACTGATGTGTGATTGTGAGACTACTCCGCCAACACCACACAGACCACTACCTACGTTACCAACACCACCACCACCACAGACGTTTAAGCTGTGTGCGGGCGGTTCGGTGGGTGTGCTGCCCGCAGTACTGGCACTGCTGCGCGCCTCACCCTTCTCTTCGTCAAATGGATTGCTCGGTTGGTGGAGCTGTAGGCCACCACGCAAAATACTGGAGCGTACTATAGTTTTGCACTGTATTTCTGCTGGTTGCTGTGCAGGCCCGGCTTGTAGAAGATTCACAACGAGTCCAAGTAGATAAGCGAGCGCGCGTTCCGAGTTAAAATGGGTAAGCACTTTGCTTTGCTGGACGTGAGGCTGAAAAGTTGGAGGAGTGAATTCGTGAGTATATATATGTGAGCTCTCGATCGTTTATAGAACTTCTTTATCGTTCAAAACATACCTTGTCCTCCGTTAAAGTGATGGCGTATCGCCCAACTTTGCAGTTACTCAATATATGCTCCATGTAATTGCGAAATATGGTGGTACTCAGCTCGACGGTGAGATCCTTTCCAATGTTCGCCGCAAGTAGCTCGTTTAAGGAAGCGTTGTCGCTTCTAAAATGTAAAGGAAAGTTTTTGTTTAATGAAAGCTATAAGTAGTCGAACCCTTCACAGCACTTACTGATAGTCACTGATATCGCAGACAAAACCATTCAATATCACCCACTTGCCGCCGTCGATTATTTGATTTTCAAAATCATTTTTCCGGATTAAATTTCCATCGTCCGTTGTATGCAAGTTGCTAACCTTCTGATTGCCACGACAGATAATGCCCGGCCAGCCCATATCGTCGGAATCCTGGATTTCGCTATCACATATAATGCGATTGAGATTGTCCAAAGAGTGCAGTAGCGGTAGAAACACCTTCGTCCATTCGAAAGCGGATAAGATGGTGGGATGATCTCTCTTCAAGATAATTAAGCCGATCAGGAGCTCGTACAACAGCGTATCAGAGATATCCGTTTTAATTATATCAACCACACTATCATTGCCTTGCAAGGCGATCTCATGCGCCTTTTGCAGTGATAGTATGCAAAGTGAGACCGCACTCTGCACGTATTTGCAGAGTAGCGCCTCAGCGCCACTAATATCCTCATGCTTCGACTGGTGGATGTGTGCGAAGAGTAGACGCTGAAAGCGGTGCAACAAATCCAGACTGGGACTGGTATGTTCAGCCAAAGTTGACTGTACGGTTGAGTTTGCAATGAAGGCATCGTCTTCGGATTTTGTTATGCCGGCATTTATAAGTAGTTGCGTCAAGCGTGCTTGAGTCAAGGCGGAATTGTTGCGTAGCAGTTGTTTAATTAGGTGTAGTAACGGTAAATTGTGGCCATTATCAGAGCAATCATTAGTTTCTAGGCGTATAGCTTGTTTCAAAGCAGTTTCCAGACCACCCTCAGCCATCAATGAACCTACAAGTAGATCAGTCATAAAACGATGGCCCGAGGAGGATATACCTGACTCAGAGGGCAAGAGCGAAGTTAAGGTTTGTGCGCGCTCCGTGGCTGTGGGTAATAGAACGCTCCAGCCAACCTGCAATGTCCATTGAGCCGCCTCCTGCATGGTTTTTAGCACATTCGAACCGCCAGCCAAGCTAAGTATGCGCTTCTTCAAGCTGACCAGCAAACGCGAACCCTCGGATAAGCCGACTGTTTTCGGTGACACACTATTAATGATTAGCGCGTGCAACTGTAAACGCAGCAGGTTTAAGCAACCCACCGCAATGCATTCCGACTCCTGATTGGGAGTTTGACGGTTATTGCTGTCTTGGCCACAGACTATGCCAAGTAATTGATCGAGCAGGCGAAAGGTGTGCTCGCTCAAGTCAATTACAAAGGGTATTTTAACAGGTACACCTTGCACTGAAGTCTGACTCCAAATTATACTCTGTGCAGCGCCACAAGCAATACCAGAAGCTTGCACCGACGGATGTGTGACGAGTACGGGATCGCGTAGTATGGGCTCCTTAGAGACTGCGGAGGGGCATACCTGCTGGAAATCATTGCGACCCCAGCCGAAGACTTCACCTTTGCTGCTCATAGCGAGACAATGCCAAACTCCCACCGAAACATCTACAATCACCTTTGACTGCGTGACGGAGGTTATAAACAATATATAAGTTTACATTTTACAACAATAAAATTACAAGCATGTACCTGCAAAGCACTTATCAACTTGGGTGTATTGAGGCACTGCAAATTTTTATCAACTAAGCCATGTCCCAAACGACCATCGTATGCCTTACCCCACGAGTAGAGCTTACCATCACAGCTCAAAGCCATTGAGAATTGTGAGCCCGCAAAGACGCGACTAATTGCTGGCAGCGTGTCAATTAGCTGTGGCACCTGCGACCCATTGCATGAGCCACCACCCAACTTGCCATAATCGCCATCACCCCAAGCGTATACAAGACCTTCTGCGTTTAAACAGAGCGTATGCGAATCACCGCTACCCAATGCCACATCGATGATGCAGTGGTCGCGCAAGGCGTGCACAAGTGTCGGTGTTAGCTTATCATCAGAGTTACCATGGCCGAGACGTCCGTAAGTACCACGACCCCAAGTATATAGGTTGCCGCTGATGGCAATGGCTGCGCTATAGGTGCAACCACAGTAGACCGACTTGACGCTTTCCTCTAGAGATTGTATTTTCGTTGGATGTTCGCGCAGCAGAGTATCACCGTGGCCCAAGCGACCACCTTCGCCGCAGCCCCAAGAGTAAGCGTTATCTGTGGAAGAAATACGGTATTAGAGAAACATGAAACCTGCCCATCCCTGATCGCAAAAGGCCTACACTGTGGATACATTTAGCTACATACATACATACCCATGGTATCGATGGCTAAGAAATGTCGGCCCTCGCAGTGCGCGGCCACTGAGGTCACTTGTACATCGTTCATTTCTTCAATAAGCATCGGTTCAGTCTCCGGTTTGGCAATCCGCCAAGTGTACATCTTGCCATCATGTGTAAGAAACAGTACATACTCCTCGGAGAAGGCAACTTGCTTTACTTGGAAATAGAAATTCAAAACCGGCGCTGGATAATGCATGCCTCCCATGTTGCTGCCCGTCGACATGCCCACAGCCGGTTCGGCCGTAAAACCATACTGTTCGTGACACAGCGTTTGCCAACCAAGCGCGTATATGCGTTGTTCATGCAATTGTGGGGTTGGAGCGGCAGACTTGCTCTCCTGTGACGCCTGCGCGTGTGCGGTTGGCTTCGTTTGCTGCATGCTGCGTGCTGGTACTTGTGTAGTCGCGGCGCTTGTAGGCAAATGAGGCTTTGCCAAACGATCGAGATGTGAAACAATAACCACTGCAGCTTGTTTCAAATCTACGTTGGTCGTCTCCTGTTCGGGTAGCGTGAGAAAGCGTAGAAAAGATTCAGTGGCGCTGGCCGGAGTGTTTTCCGTGCAGTTGCCAATGCCATAATTGCCAATGCTTTCATAGCGGCGTAGAATGGGTACAAGTGGGGCGCCAGTATTTTGTGGAACATCACGATTGTCATCCGTTTCCTTTTCTTTCTCCCACAGCATAAGTAGGAGTACGATGGCCTCGAGCGTAGCAGCGAGTGTACCTTTTTGAGCGCCCAGCTCCAGTAGTAAGCACAAGGCAGTGTGCCGGTCTTCGCGCGGTGCGGTACAGCGACCGCCCAAAAGATCACCAAGCGCGACCTGACGTAGAAACTTTATAGAGCGCTCCAGCACTTCAATCCATAGTGGGGAAACCTGAAAAAATAAAGTTAAGTAAATAAATTTATTAAGTCTACATATAATTTTACTCACCTGTGTTGAGTCAAAAAGCGAAGCTTCGGGTAAGTCTTGGAGTGATTCCAATGCCTCACTTAGTAACTCACTGCACATTTCCGTGTCTTCGCCAGAGCGCCAGGCGCGTCTCAAGAAAGCAAACGAAAAATTAAGCGCCGCTCTCGTGCCCACACGCGCCAAGCCAAGCGTGGCACGTTCGTTCTCCTTTATGGGCGATGGCACATCCACAGTGGAAAAGTGTCTCAGTTTATTTGTGGCATGATAGTTAATTTCTCGAATACGCATTGGGCTGATGCCGCTATTTCCAGCATTGCGTTGATCTTCATTGAATTTGCATTTGTCTGCGGTGCTTGGACCAATAACGCTCGACATGCCATGACACTGCAGCTCCTGTTGCTGCTTCCAACGTGAGAGCGCAACAAAATAGCGTTCATAGATGAAAAGCTGTTGGCGTAGATGCATAGCAGAGAGGCAATTGCCGGCTGCCCGTAATGAAACATCATGCAATTCCCCCAAAAGTGTATTCTGACAATTCAACTTGACAGACGCATTCGGCGATTGACCCCAAAGCCAGGACTCGAAAATAACTTCAGACGAAATGCGGTTAGCTGCAGCATTTTGCACGGCCGTGGTCATTTTCTTAATGGCCGAATCGGAATCAAGGGTGCGGCATGCGGAACAGTTGCAACCCGATAGCGGACCACAGTAATCTAGGGGACAACAGGAGCATTGCAGCTTTTGCACGCCACAATAATGTTTACCATCATCGCCAAGGTAGGAGAGGTGACCGGCAGCGTTGTTTACAGGCGCTGCTGGGGACGAAACTAATTCGCAATCTTGTATTAGATTATTCCAAAGAACAGCGGCATCCTCGGCATTGCGCAAGCCAGCGATGAGATCGGCACGTAACCATTTAGAATCGAGATAAGGCAATGGACGTAAGTAGAGATCAGTAGATGAATTGCACGAGGACATTACTGACGACACTGCAGTCACTTAGTAACTGTTGTTATAAAATGTCACGATTTACAGCTACTTGTTTATGAAACAGCGTATAAATTTGTTTTATGCAAAAATACGCTGTCGATTATTGTGTTTTTCGAACTTTTCGAGTTCTCCGCGGATTCGATTATAAATAATTTGAATTGTTTGCAATGAAATACTGAATGTCGGGTTGGCTTTGTACTTTGCTGTCGAGTCGTGCGACAAGATGCCTACATTTTGCATTTGCTTATCATGCGCTAACGCTGTGGTGTTGATAAATTCAATTCCGACTCGTTGATGTAAATCCAGTTACGCTAACTTGTTATGCTGTTGTTTATGTATTTAGAAATGTGTGTGTGTAGTTTCAATTGAAGGCAGATTGAGTAAAATTAATGTAATTGCAAAACGTGAGCTTTGTTTTTGAACCTCGCGTTAACCTCCAAGTGCTCCTTGCAGCGCGCGCACCACAACTGCGTTGGTTCACACACTGCACGCTATGGAAAATGAAGTGAGCGTAAACACACCAGCTAGCGCGCTACCGCCCACTATGGTTCGTTAGTTTTCTATTCAAGTTTGTCGTTTCGTTGATCTTGATGTCGTCACTTTCGCTTTTGTCGTTTTATTTTGACCGTGTAACAATTTGTATTGATGTTTTTATTTTCGTTATGTTGTTATTGCTGTCTTAGTTCGTTACTACTGTCACTTCTAAACGATGTTTGTTGTTTATACCGTTTGTTGTTGTAGCAGTTTGGGTTCGGCCTTTTGTGAAAATTCAATTTTGCGTACGCTGCTGTCACTACGTTGCTCCACTACCACCACTAATAGCTATCAATCAGTCTCAGTGGTGACTATTCGCACGCGTCTTTTATACACCCAAACCCGCTGAGTATTCAATTAAGCAAACCTAACAGGGCAGAAAAGTATGAAATGTTTCTTTTTTTTTTTTTTTATGTTAGAAAATAATAAAACCTCTTCCAATATAATTGCACTTACCACCCTTCCTCACTTAACTACTGCACATACATACATACATACACACACACCAGTCAGAAATTTTCACAGCACAAAATTTTTTCTTTGGAATTTTTTCAAATGTAATTTTTCGCATTAAATTCGTCAATTTAGCAGGATTTTATATCGTAATTTGTTGTGCCTCTTTACTACTACAACTATTTACTAGTTTCAGTAGTTAAATTTAACTTTTTCTTTGTATAATTCTCATTGAAAAATATGCTGCAGGTTTTCCAGCTAGTCCAATAAAGAAACTCGAGAAAAATTTTCGATTAGTTGCAGCGCTACCAGCCCGCTAGGACAGATTCCTACAAATAAGACCCACAAAAGTACAAACTTTTTAGATATATGGTATGACATGGGTTTACTGCGTAATTTTCGCCCAGAAGTCGTGTTTTGAGATCACAACTACCTTAATTTTAAAGAGCAAGAACTAGATTTTCCAAAGCATTTAAGAAGGTCGAGGTTTTCAAGTTTTTAGCTTCAGCATCGATGCATCATTCATTTCGTTTTCCAAATTATATATAAACATTTCGAGCATTTTTTCAGACCTTATTATTCTTGATGATAAAAACAAAAATTAATATGCCAAAATCTATATCAACATTACTGGCAGAAACAGAATAATCCTCCAATTCTTGGAATCCGTCTTATTGGATTTTTTCTAACCAAGACGGCAGCATAGTTTTAGAATTTTAACCATCTGGCAGGAATCCACCGGAAATCTCTTACATTTTACAACCCTTCAATCTTTTACACAACGATAACAGCTGTTTTTTGTTTGTAAACAAATCCGAAAAGCCGATTGGCAAATAAATACAATATACAGTGAATTTTTGAATGAAACTACTTTTAAAATGTTAAAACATATGTCAGCAATAGTTTTTCGATTAAGTTTCAACTAAATTCTCTTAACTACACATATTTCTTTGCAAAATCAATTTGTTATTATGGTTTTTGCTGTTTTTGTAAATTTAATGTCAACAAAAATACTCAGGCGCCATCTGCTGGTGATGACTACAAATTTTTGTACAAAACGAACAACAAAAAACTAACAAATATCGAGCGATGGGCGCAGAATTTATTTCATAAAAAAAAGAGAATTTGACTAAAATATAATAATTTTAATACACAAGTCAACATCCAGTGTGTGATATGCACGATCCAGATTTGGAAGCGAATGCGGATAGCGTCAACTATCTAATAACACAACTATGTAGGAATCTTGCAGAGCAATACGGGTTGGAGGAGCCTGAATGCAGCACAGCTGTGCAAGAATTGAAATCAACTGCTTTTGAAATTTTGCTGAAAAAATCAACAGAACCACATGTATTCACCTCAACGGATGATGCAGCGGAGTTTGATCCACAACGTGCAGTTGATATGCAAATATTTGCCGCCAAATTGCATTCGCGTGCTGATCCTCAAGTGTGTGCGCGATATGCAGCACTTGAAGAACAGATGGCCAACATTAGCGATGAGCCATACTTTATGGAGGGACCGGGGCGTAGTGTGCTACAGCTGTTGCTGGCATTGCAAGGGGATGTGCGCGGGGAGGAACAAGTGGTGTGTCATTGTATACATTATATATATTATATGATATGTGGGTGTGTTTTAATAATTCATATACGTAACTCCTTTCTATAGCCTGTGCCAAGTCCACCAGCGCTGCTGGTGCCTGGACCGTTTACCCTCCACGCCAACTACGAAAATAACCGTTATTACCCAAGACCACAAACCTTCGATTGGTTGGTTCCCGAACCGCGTTTCTTTAAAGGTGTAAAGCACAGCGAAACATTGGATAATCCATATTTACCAAAATACTTACTGCATGAAGAATGTAATTTTTTAGCGAAAATGGACCAAAAATATGCTGCCAACTTGATGCCTAAACAAGCAACACCACAGGATTGCACTTTTACCGCGATGACGCGTCGTTTGCTCGGCTCAACTGTGCGTATGAGTGTGAATATTTTTCGTGCGCCGGTCGACAGTAAAGCCCAAGCATTTAAGGATGTTGATATGCAAAATAGGCGAAAGGTAGTGAATGATATTTCTTCACTCTGTCTGTATTAAATAAAATATATTTTTTTTAGTTAAAATTAATAACTTCCAATGCTCGTCATACGCCACCTGTGGTGCAAAATGTGCCACATCGTAAAGCGGAGCCACGCATTTTATCATGGAATTGGCAAAGTTTGAGCTGTCGTGGTGTGATACGTCAACGTCCGTTCGCTAGTGAGGCCGAAATGATGCTTGATCTCAAGTGTCATATGCTGCAGATGCGCGGCTGTGAGTTCGAGACAAATATTATGACTTGTGCGGACTTTTTGCACGACCTGAAAGCGCTCACCGCGGGCATACAATCAGATACCTTTCAGCATGACGATCATATGGTATTTAACATGCAACCGAACATCACTGTGGAGGGTTTGCTGCCAGAGACGGTGAGGAGTTATGCCGTTAGCTTTTTGGAGTGCGGCACCTGCTACAAACGCCTGCAGACAATGATACAGAAAAAAGACTACAAATTGATGTTTGAAGGCTTCATATTTCGTGTGAGTGCACCTACATGTCTATAAAATTAACTAAACTTTTTCTTGCAATTAAAAATGATTTCCGCTTCCAGGCTCTATGTAGCGCTATCGACGAGTACTTGCTCACGTTTCGCCAGTATGTGTTTGCCAAGGAAGATGACACGTTGATTGCCTACTATGCGCGCATGCGCAAAATTATGCGTCAAATAAGTAATTTATCCTTTACGCTGGTCATACATACCGATGGTGAGTGCTTAGAAAAATTGTAAAAAAAAAAACAAAATTTTCTTATTCAAAACTCTCATTTCTTAAACGCTCACAGTGGCCGCACATGTCACACTCCCGATGGGCTCACAGTTTCTCGGCTACTTATATCGCGAAATTGTGCATACAACCGAGAAGGATTATATAATGCTACTGGTTTACATGCTGAAGTCCTGTTGTCATGTTTATTTCAAGTAAGCTGTTGAGAGAACCCCCTTCTGAATTGATATACTTAACCTTACTCCTTTATTCTCAGACATTTGCAGAAATGGATCTACTATGGTCTATTGGATGATCCCTGCAGTGAGTTGTTTATATGTTTCGTGGATCACTACCGTCCCAACACGAAATATTTTTATGATAAAGCTTATTTTGTGCGTAAAGAGTCTGTGCCGGGCTTCTTCCAGGGCTATGAGGATGATATCTTGCAGTGCGGCAAGTACACGATGCTGCTGAAAGCCTACAAACCGAATGTATGCATGAAATATGTAAAATTTTTGATACTTATAACATAAAAATTACTCCTCTCACCAACAGCACCCGTTTTTTACACTCGACTATCCACTCATATCGGTTTGTCTCTCTTATGAGGAAATTCAGCGTCTGAAAAAGAAGTGCATACTATATAGAGAACGTGCAGAAGCGGCTTGTGGCTCTTCGAATGTAAGCATTCGCCAGATATTTGAGGCGCGTGCCGCTAAAAAGCGTGATTTCTATAAGCGCGCATGCCAGCGTACTCGTGACAACCTCGATAAATGGTCGATAGAGCAACATAATCTCGCCGTGTTAGTTGCCGAGCAGAAGAAGCGCCGCTTAGACGAATTAACCACGCAACTTCAAGATGCCAAGCAGCGTAAAATTGATGAGCGGCGCACTAATGTTGAGTTGGAGTTGCGTTTACTACGCGAAACGGAGAAATTGGAGGAGCAACATTTGTTGCGAGAAAATATAAATCTGCGCAAACGCATTGAGTATTATCAAGAACTAAGCGATATGATTCGCACTGATGCGGGGGCTAAGCCGGTAGTTGCAACAAATGCGCCAGCTGTGGCACAGGTACAACCCTCAAAATTCAGTCCGCAGAGTGATGGTAGCGGCGAACATAGCGCGCATGCGCCACCAACATCTGGCAGCGGCGGCACAGATACGGATTTTGAGTCGTGCTGCGGTGAGGACGAGAAAGATACTGATGCTTATGCAGACGCAGACGCAGACGCCGACTCAGCTTCGCTATACGCCGAGTGTTTGTCCGAGGAATTCGTGCAGAAATTTGAAGAAAATGAAAATGAGCTGAAGGCGCTTTGTGTAGCAGAGAGAGCTGAGCAAGACGCTGATGGAGAGACTGCAGATAAGACGCTTGTAACGTTGAACGCGCCGCAGATGTGCAGCTCAGATACAAGCTTGAAGAGCGCCTTGGATTTTACGGTATCCAAAACCTCGACGTTACTGCCGAATCCATCTAATATGACTTTTTTGAAACGCAGCGTCTCAGATGTAATCAACTCAAATGAGCTACCTTGCGCCAGTGTCACACAAAATGTCAGCAGCACTACAGTCACCATCGTACCTGCTGCGCGTACTGAAACATTCACGCCACAGATAAGTAGTACCACCGTGACTATAGGTGCCGCTCCGGTCACAAATGAGACACTGACAGAGGCTCAACGCAACAAGTTACGTGTACTTACGCATGAGTTTGGTACGTACAGCGCAAGCGCGCTGCCGGATATCAACTTGAACACATTACCGGAAAGCGAATTGACGGACTTGCAGCGTAATCGCCGACGCATGATGCAAAATGATCTCTTTGCGGAGTACAATAAGAGTCCGCTAGCCGACCGCGCGCAGCTCAATCTCAACTTGGACACTGAGCGCGCACGCAATCGCCGACGTGTATTAGAGAGTGAATTCAATATACTCACCGGGCTAACTCCCTCCACAACCACATTCACTGTAGAGCAGGTGGCAACACCAATGTCCACCACTTCCGATACACCGCTCACAGAGCAGGCAGCTGAATTTACAGCCGCGGAGGTGAAGAAATATGATATTGCCAACGGTAATGTTTCGTCGAAGACACAATTGAAAATTAATGTGGATCTCGCGAATGAACAGTCAGTACAAGTAGCTGAGGGAGAGCAGTCTGTGGTTAGTTTGCTTGGTTCTCAAACTGCCCGCACACAAGATGTCTCAGAGACACCGGAATGCGCCTTAAACACTGCCGGCTTGCAGGCCAAGCAAGGGTTTGATTTTATAGACGCGGAACGTTTGAGAAAACAACAACAGACCGCCCCCACAGAGGCGCCCATCCAACTGGACTCAATGTCCATAGTAACCGACGCTGATGAAGAGGAGGATAACGACGCCTTACTGCCGCCCGACTACAGTGACCCTTACAAGCGCAGCAGGGAACTGCTTGCGAGCAATTTTACCTGCGCTACATTAAGTCCGTACATACGCTTGAATATGAGCAAGACGCCCATGATTGTGGCAGGTAAGAAGTCGCGCGAATCGCTGCAGCAACTGAAGGTGAACAGCATGAGCGTTATAACGCTGACGGAATTTATGCAGAAATCTGTCATACTACCAATGACCACACACCTCGGTTTGGTGAATAATGAAGTGATGCGCTTGTTTCTCGATGAGTTGAAGATTTTGGATCATTTACGCAGCTTGAGACATTACTTTTTCCTTATGGACGGAGAGTTCGGTTCGATTATTGGCGATGGTATTATTGGCAAACTGGAGAGCGGCGCTACGCCGGTAAAATTGCTCAACTATCAAATGCTACATTCTATACTCGACACTGCGCTAGGCTCAAGCATAACAGGTAAGCTGCGATTATAGCTTTTGTAAATTCAAAACTGAACACTTGCTCTGTAGGCAATGACAAAAACGCAGAGAATCTCTCGTTCACCATCAGCGATATGCCACAGAAATTTGAACTCGCCAATCCGGGCGTTTTGAATGTACTTAGTTTGAGTTATCGCGTTGAATGGCCACTGAATCTAATACTCAATCCCGAAACGCTCGAACAGTATGGCAACATTTTCAAGTATCTGATCAAAGTGCGCCGCATCAGTTGGGTGCTGGAGCGTGCCTATCAAATACTCAAGGAGGCGTTGAAAAAGCATGGCAAACAGATACTCCAATCGCCACAGTATCGCCATATCCAATTGATGCGGCACAAGTTCTATCATTTTGTGCATGCCTTGCAAAATCATATCACCGCCAATGCATTACAAGCCTCATGGAAGACCTTCAAAGATGATCTACTGCAGGCCAAATCCATTGAGGATATCTATCGCAAGCATACCACCTATGTGAAGCGTATACTCTTTCTCTGCATGCTGAATCGCCATAGCGCTGAGTTCAATAATACTATCGAGAATATTTTCAAAATATCGTTACGGTTCTATAAGTGAGTTGGCTACATAGTTTATTAAATATGATATTTACTTTCTTTCTTATCTCCTAACAGCAATTTAAAATCGCGCGAGTTCAAACAGCGCGCTGGCGATGAATACTTTACACACTCGCGTTATGAGAAATTATCCAATGATGAGCAGGAATTCGATAAATTGATTAAATTCACCATATATCTGGGTAATAAGATTGTGCGTCATGGCTATCAGGAGGAGATTGGCCAGCTGATTGCCTTGATTAATTTTAATCAGTACTATAGCGCAAGCACCATACCTTAAAGCGTTAAATGAATAAAAAGTTTGCTTTAAATGTCTTAGATATATAAACGCTGAATTTAATTTTAAAACTCGAATTTGAAATGTTACTATGTATTAATTTTATTGTATTATTAGTTAAAAAAAATCGTTGTATTAATTAATAATAAATAATACTGCTTCGTGTTTAATTGAGAGTCATTAAATGTGTCAAACTTCCTTTTTAAACATTGATATGCTTCTTCTTAGATGCTGCTGGTGTTTGTTGTTACCGTTTTGACCACGTTTTTTCTTAAAGTCTGTTTTTTTTTGTGGCTGCAGAGGGGGTAGCGGGCCTTGAACAGACCGGTAACTCCGTCACGAAAGTTCAACGCAAGTTGATTATTTTTTCTTCTTTATAGCTGCCATTAATAGCGCTTGAGAGCTCTGTCAAGCTAATCTGTAGATGCTGTCCTTTAACGCTTGCTTTATTATGCTTTGATTATCAATTATAGTTGTGAACTCTTCTTTACAAAAGATAAACACTCTTAAGCAGTTAAGGACCGCACTGTGAACCAGCCTTAATATTAGTTAATATAAGACTTCCCTGAATTAAATCGATAAACAAGAGCTTCAGACAAATATCTGTAAATTACATAAATTATTTCGAAACATTTTTTAAAAATAACTAAACTTTGCGTAGCATTTCCACCACTTCCACTTCGAACCAGCAACAGTGCTGCCAAGTTATCATAAATGTCAGTTGAAAGCAAGATGTCAACCAAAAAAGTCCGTTGTATGCCCATCAACTGCTATCAACCACAAAATGTCAAACATACACACAAACACACATCCACACGGCATTAAACAACTTCCGCACACCATCATAGGATGGAACCAATACAGAGCACACCACACATTGCATTTGCCATGCGTGCACAGACAGTCGGAATATGAATATTGCAACAGTATGCGTGCGCCTAATGACTGACTTTGGCTCTCAGTACGCATCTTCACCATGGGACATACGCTTTCGGTGTGCGCTCACTTGTTTAGCATGCAAACAAAATTTTAGTATTAAATTGTGAATCTCATTGGTATGTTGTGTGCGCACGGTTGGAATTTTACGAATTCCCCTCTCAAAATGCGCCCCCACACGCCCCGTGCTTGCAGCAAGTAATCAAACAGACAACCAATATAACCCACGAACCTACAACCAACGAGTCAGCCACCCTGCCAGCCACCCACCCAAGGCGGGAGTTGTGTTGAGTGTCGCGCAACAACATACATTGTGGCTGCAACAGCTTGCAGCAGGAGCAGAGTCGAAAAACGGTATTAATACTTTTGTGTGTGTGTGTGTGTCGAAGAAAGGTGGCGGGGAAATAATGCGAAAAATGCATTAAATTAACACAAATGCTAAGATCAGTGTTTGCAAATGAAGTGGAAAATTAGCTAAATGCAAAATGCCTTTTTCAGTGTAAGTGCTGAGCTGCAAAAAATAAGAATTAAAATAAAAATAAAAATAAAAATAAGAAAAGAATGCATGCTGACTGGACAGTGTAATCTCGTCCATATAGTCGGTGAGTGTGACCGCAGCCGTAGTGAGTTGAAACGTGCAACGAAATTGTGAAGAAAAAATTTGTTGCAGCGCATACCAAGCAGCTTATAGCGAAAATATTTAGTAAAAAAAAATATAAAAAAAAAGAAAATATTGTGAATGAAACGTTGAAGGCACACAGATATGGTAAAAGTAACAAAGTTGTGAGAAACTGTGTGTAAATACCAGAAAGTACGAGTGTTTAGTAAAGAAAAAAGTGAAGAAGCCAATGTGAAAAATTTCCAATGTAATGCTCGACGGGTGGTTGCGGTGAAGGGGGTGGGTACGTACGTACGTACATACATAAAAAGCATTATGCTGATATACAAAGTGTATATATGTGTGTGCCTTTGTGCTGTGGGCCCGACGGCAATGCAAGAGAATGAACGAGAGAAACTCGCAGAGCGCCGCTGGATTTACAAAGGCATATTACACATGCAGATATACATACAGAGGCGGTTGTGCTATAAAGTTTTGACTAGATACTTGAGTACAAACAAACATGAAGGCATACTTATGTACAATTAGTGAATAAGCGAAATGTGCGGCCGTAATGCATTGTGACACATATGTATGTACATATGTATGTATATACAAAATATATAGTAAATACATACATATGTATGTATGTATGTTTGCATACAATGGAGGGGAGCGCGTATAAAATCTTTTCATTTGTGTGTGTATGCATAAGCAATAAAATAAAGCGTACAAATTTACATACAAACGTACAATGAACGCTACCGCTAATGCATGCCATGCAACAAATAATAAATAAAAATATTTTATGTGAAAAAAAAACAACAACGAAATGCTGTAGAAGCAGATGAGCTATAAAAAAAAAGACAACGCTGACTGGATCACAGCGACTGACTTAGTGACTGATTGACTTGACTGACTGCCTAGTATGGGTACGACAAGCAGCGCTAGTAAACAGCGTATGTACATATGTATGTATGTATGTATGCATATGAGCTAAGTATAGAAAAAGTGCTTAAGCATAGGAAGATAAAAAACAACAACAACAATACACAATAAAAATCTTCAAGCCAAAGAAAGAAGGAGGCTATGCGGAGTGTACGTGAACTGAAGTGTCGTAGCTTTTTATAATTAATTTTACTATAAATAAATGCAGCGAATTTTCTATAATTCACCACACAAAGTAAAAACATGAAAAACTAATTTTTGATTCTACAAAATCTAGACTGGAATGTGTGTATTGGTGTAATTAATAATTTTCTTTAAACGCGCCCACTTTTTAATGAGTTTTTCACTCACAAAACTTTAACCTAGACAAAGAAGATTTTTTTATCAAAGTTTGTAGCCTTTTTTGACTTCAAATTAATATTATTTTTTAATTTTTTAACTCTTACCATGCTTACATTTTTTAAGTGAATTATTTCACAAATTCGCTTTTTTACTTACATACATACATACATACATACATGCTTGTATGTACATACGCTACATCAGCGCCGTCAACATTTTCGTGTATTAGCAGCATTTCTGTCTGTATCTACAAGTTTTCTTATTTGAAATTACAAATATTCAACAACAACAACAACTGCCTTTCAATACAATATCCAATAAGAGAGCGTAGAGAGCACCAGCGGAGTTTCCAAAAACTCAAAACGCGCGCGTGTGTGCGTGTATGTATATACATATGTATGCGAGTGCGTACGCTCAAAAACATGCATGCATGTATGTGTTTATATCTGTGCTTGTCCGTCTCTATTGCTTTTACCAAAAGGGTGGGTGGGCGCACGGCAGCGCGAAACCAGCAAATAAGTGCCAACCAGTGCTGCCAAATCGAATTGAAATAAACGCTTCGCACGCTCAGCTGTTTGTACACTATCTCTGCAGTTGGTAGAGTGCCGCTATAGCGGTTGTCAAAAGAATCTTGTTTGACAAATAAATTTTATGCACACAAACATACGTGCACTCTCGCACACGCACACCATCAAAGCAAATTTATACAACAGAAAATAATTAAATATGAATTCTCTGCTGCTCTTCGCTTGCTCAAAAAAAAAAACTTAATAAAGCTATACGCACGCATGCTCGATCAATCTCTTGCGCGCTCTCTCTCTCTCTCCCTCTCTCTCTCTCTCTGAGTGCATCTTCATTTGTTTATTTACGTTGCAGCATTGCCAGGCTTGCTGGCCTTTTTAATTTAACTAAAGTATGCACATTTTTGTTTGTATGCCGTTGTGCCCCTGTTGGGCATGTGTATGTTTGTGTGTCACGCGCAGCTCTATTACGGCTATTAATTAACTATCCATAAAATGATGAATATTTTAATAGAATTTGTTGTTGTAAATTTCCTAATTAAAAGCCGCATAATTAAATATTCAGCGTAAATCTCAACAGCAAGCGAAATGGTAGAGTGACAGTGACAATGACAGTGACAGCGTTATTGCTGCAATCAACAGTAAATACACAAAAAAAAATACAAAACAGAAGTCAATGTGAATGTCAAGCGGGAATTCATAATTCAAATGCATTTACATAGTAAATAAACAAATGGAAGTTAAAGGAAAGTAATAAAAAAATGAATAATTAAATAATAAAAATAAGAAATTAGTAATAAATAGATAAATGAAAAAAATTAAATGGCAAAAACTAGTGCTAAAAAATAAGAATAGAAAAAGTAAATTTGCAATATCCTGTCAATCAAAATGTGAAATATCAAAAATTGTGTCTATGAGAAAAAATGTTTTTCACTACAATTCCAATTTATTATACGTACATACAGACAGACATATGCGTAGCCAAAATGTAGCTGAAAAAATTTCGTTAGAAAAAAGTGTAATAAAATGCATTTTGGTGTTTGGTTGCATTTAAAAATCAAAATTAATAAAAAAAAAATTAATTAATTATTTAAAGAAGTTATAATAAACTAATTTGTAAACATAAAGCCTTAATTAAAAATATAAAATGACATTCAAAGGCACATATGTCAAAAAATCAACGGTTTATTTGACGCAGCTGAAAAAAAGTGTCTAATCTTATTTCTACAGTTATTTTCTTCGGTTTGATTTTTCACCTGCCCAACAAATGTCCGTTGGCTAGAGAGAAGAATAAGCATTGAACAGCTGTTTGCAAGCGCAAAAGTAAGTAGACGAAGGTAAATACATAATTTTTTTTTAAATCACAAATAACCGTTGTGGGTTTTAAAGCCCTTTTCATACTTCTTTGTTTTTCCTTTTCACTTTTGCTTAAAAAATCCGCTCGTAGTGGCCTGGGCAGTGGTTGGGTACATAACTATATATTTCATCTGTGCTGCTGCTGCCGTGAAATTCTTATAGATTTTAGCGCCGTCAGAATAAATCTAAAGCAAAAATTGAATCTACAAACAACTTACACCTTTTTCTATGATTCAATTGCCCACCCAGCAATAAACAATCAAAAGTAGGCGCCAATCACGCCCACCCATCATTTCAACACCAAACTAAATGATTTCCAATCAACAAACAAAGCGCCAAACACAAATTTTTTTTATACTTCGATAACATCGTTGTTATTGTTTTGCTGTCTGTTATTGAATACCTCCTTTCGCCGGTGTTTATTCTATATTTCTTTGATTTGTTTACAGGTGGATCGGATCGCGTGTGTTGATTTTCGATTTACTACTTAACTTCATTATCTCTAATTTAGGCACAAAAAAAAATATGTATGTGATAACATGCACGTTGTAAGCAAACTGAAAATACAACAACAATAGTAATAACGCTAGAAAATAACATATTTATTTACATACTTGTATGTATGTTGCTCAAGTCATCCATAAGCAAAGCTGAAATTATTGAAAAATAAATACACAAAAAAATAAAAAATAAATAAAAAATAACAAAAATCGGAAAAATAAAAAAAAACAAAAAATATATACAAAAAAAAAAACAGAAAACAGAAAAATGAAAAATAACAAATAATTTGTTAGGAAATATCAAATGTGTGTAAATTATTTACTCGCGTTGATTTTTTTAATTGAAAAGCAAATAGAATCCCACAAGGTCGTATCAAATATTTGAAGCGCGGTTAAGTGAATGGGTTTTCTGTTTTTGTTTGTTTCTTTATGTTCTTCTGCGCATACGAGTACATATGTATGTATGCACATATGTACGTTGTATTTGTTATTTGAGATATTGAAGTCCATTAGTAGCTGCGAGTGTTGAATTGTTATCGGTTGCGCGCTTTTTATGATCGGCTTTTATTTATTTTTTATTATATTTTATTTTATATTATATATAATGAAATTGGACTTTTTTTTTATTTAATTTTATATATATTTTGGTATTGGGTTAATTAAATTTTTTATGTTTATTTCATTTTTATTTCATTTTTATTTTTTTTATTTACCTTAATTCATTTTATATTAATTTTTACTTTGTTTTATTTTATTTTTTTTTTAAATATTTTTTTATTTTTTTTTTAAATATTTTTTTTTTATTTTTTTCATTTTTGTTTAATTTATTTGTTTTTTTTTTTTGTTGAATTCCGTTTTATTTTATTTTTCCAATTAATTACATTTCATACTATTAAATAAGGCAAAATTATTTAATATATTATAAATAAAATTATATTTAATTTTATTTAAACTAATTTTAGTTGAGATTCTTTATTCTTAATTTTATTTTATTATCTTTTCTTTTAATATTTCATTTAGTTTCACTTCTTTTCTTTTATTTAACTAAAATTTATTTTATTTTTTATTTAATTTCACTCCATTTTATTTTATTTTAATTAATTAATTTATTTTTTTAATTTACTTTATTTTTTTTTTTAATTCAATTTAATTTTATTCCATTTTTTTAATTTTTTTTGTTTTTTGACTTCAATTTAATTTAATTGTATTTATATTTAGTTTAGTTTAATTTATGTACAACTTTGCTTCCGCCGTTTTGTTCCAAAATTAAAAGCTTTATTGCGAAAAAGTGCTTACAGATATATTATTCAAAGTATTGTTCTTCGCTAGCGACAACTTTCTCCCATCTTTCCGGCAATTTTCGGATCCCGGCTCGAAAAAAGGAGTCCTCTTTTGACGCTATCCATGAAGCAATCCATTTTTCCAATTCTTCGAAGGATTGAAAATGTTGATCTGCCAGGCCGTGTGCCATCGAACGGAATAGGTGGAAGTCAGAAGGGGCGACATCTGGGGAATACGGCGGGTGGGGCAAGACTTCCCATTTCAGCGTTTCCAGGTACTTTTTGACCACTTTTGCGACGTGAGGCCGAGCATTGTCGTGTTGGAGGATGACTTTGTCATGTCGCTCTTGATATTGTGGCCGCTTTTCTTTTAGCGCGCGACTAAGGCGCATCAGTTGCGTTCGGTAGCGATCTCCTGTGATGGTTTCACCCGGTTTTAAGAAGTTTTTGTATGTTTTGAAGGTTTTTTCTCTCCACCACCATGTTTGTCTCGAAATCATCGAAATCACCATTTTTGAAACGTTGAAACCACTCCCGACACGTTCTTTCACTCAGAGCAGCAGCATCACCGTAAGTTTCTGAGAGCATTCGATGCGCTTCAGCTGCATTTTTTTTTTCTAATTGTAACAGAAAAGTAAAACTTCCCGCAAATGGCGAGAATTAGGCACATAAACGGACATTTTCGAGCGTCAATAATACGAAAACAAGAACAACTGTCACTGAAACGGCGATGACAATTCGTTAGGCACTGTCCACACTTACTTTAAAGGCATTATCATCTATGCATTTCAACCAGCCTCAGCCGATACAGCCACCTATCGGAAAACGGCGGAAGGAAAGTTGTACATCTAAAATTTAGTTCTATTTTATATTTTTTAGGGTTTTTATGTTTTTTTTACTTTATTTTAATTTATTTCTATTTAATAAATTTTTTTGTTGGATTCTATTTCAGTTAATTTTTATTTATTTTTTTCATTTTAATTCATTTTATTCTTCTTTGTTTTGTTTCATTTCGTTTTATTTTATTTTATAAATGTAATTTTTTACTTTAATCTTCATATTTATTTTATGTAATTATAAAATTTTAAATTTATTTTATATAATTTTATTCCATTTTATTTTATTTTTATTTATTTTATCCTATAATTTTCATTTTATTTTTATTATTTTTTTTATTTCAATATTTTTATATATTTTATTCCATTATAATCTTTTACTGCATTTAGTAAATTTTTTTGTTTTACTTTTTATTATATTTTGTTTTATGAGAATTTTAATTCTTTTTTTTTCATTTTATTTAATTTATTTTATTATATTTTATTATATTTTATTTTCTTTTAAATTACATTTAATTTAATTTTAATTATTACTCTATATTATTTTATTCTAATTTATTTTGTTTTTATACCTTATTTTCTTTATGTTGTAAGACAATTTTTTATTGTATTGTAGTTAATTTTTATCACACATACATACATATGTACATACCCGTTTGTATAAAATCGTCTCTTTAAGTCTCGTCTCACTTCCCAAATATCTCACCACAAATGCGCCGCAGCCTCTTCGTCCGGCACAGGTCGGCATAAGCAGCCCCTCAGCCCCTCATCCCCCTAACTTCCTGTCTTATTGTGTCAAAAGCACTCCCTTGCCTTGCGCTCAGTAGCCACCAACATAATCTCAATCACCTTATGGCAACTTGACACCATCAAAGTCCGGCACGAATTCACACTTACGCACACCTCTACAAGCATAACAACTCAGTACAAGCCCAACGGTCATTAGATGTTTACCCGAGGGTTAGCTATCAACACATGTGGCATGGAGGATGTCAGCAGGATGAAAGTAGCAAAGCAAAATCGAATGATGCGCGTAAGAATAAGAAAAATGAAAAGAATAGGAGAATAAACTTAAAACCGTCAGTTTTCTTACTCCCGCAGCACTTAACCTTTTAACAACACGCAGATGATGAGCTCACGTGCTGGGTATACGTTTGTGTGTGTGTGTGGCAAGACAATTGCTTTGAGATCCCTTTAGGCGCTTAACATCATTGTAGCTGGCTACCTGCACATACACATACACACACACACGCCTACAGATACACACGCAAACAGACTCTGCGCACAAGTGTGTGGCTGTAGTCATAATTCATAGTCGTACAGCCTTTATATTGCATTGTTTGTGTTGTTGTTTTGCACTTGTTCACTGTCGCTTTGGTTGTCAGCGGCATGTGACGTATGTTGCGCGCCGAAGAGGGGTAGACTTCCGTTGTCAGCGTCGCTCGGGCCGACGTTGCTGACACATCCCATCCGCCAACCTATGTGTGGGATGTGAAGAAAAGCATGAGATCAGCTCTGAGTTCTGCAAAAAATGCTGTACGGAAGGGGCTGCGTAGACAATCGGGTAGTTACGTGCAAAAAAGTTTTCAAATCTCTGAGGTTGTAATGTAACACTGTTCGGGGGTTTGAGCTTGGTTTGAAGCTCACCCACATCCCTTCCGCCGACAAACCGGAGATCCCAGTGCTGTTGCAAAGCGGAAGCGTGCACTGAGCTCCCAACAGTGAACCGAACACTAACTGCTTGGTTTTCCTGCGTTTATTTGTTATTTGCATACCACCAACCGACAAACAAACACTCGCACGCACATTCACACACCGGCACAGCAGTGCAAATATACATTGGAACCGCGGCAAAGTGTTGGCGCATTCATGTCGCCACTTACACCTGCTCCGCGAATACGCACATGCTCGGCTTGAAATATATGTTGTTGTTGTTATTGTTTCGCACATAAAATCGGGCATTGTTGCGTTTGCTTTATTTACGTCTCTTATTTTCATTCGCTTTTTGTTGAATTTTTTGCTTTTATTTACCTTTGCGTTGGCTTTTTCGCGCTTCGTTGCTGGCAATAACGCAAGCCAACACATACAGACACACACACACACACACACGCCCTCAGTGAAGCCTGCATGGTAGAACGCGCGTGGTATGGCTTTTCATTGCATACTTGCAGGCGTTATTTACTGTTTTTTCCCCCATACACTTATCTTGCTGTGTTTGTTGTTGCTGTTGTCCTGGACTGAAAGTTTTACCTTGTCCTCATGCATGGCGCAGCATGTTTGGCTGTGTGGGAGCTTGTAGATTTTCGCACGAAAAAAGGCGCGAAATGTCTTTCTGAATTATTAAGGACTCTTCTCGCCTCATTTTGTACTTTTTCCCATTTTCATTTTGCATTTATGCTTCTGAATTATTGGATTAAGCGTTCAAATCATGAAGAAACCATAGGCAAATCATAAGACTATGCAGTTCCGAACATTGAAAGCTATGCAAGGTTCCTAACATCGCGCCACTAAGGTTAGGTTAGATTACATTATCTGGGTGCTCCCACATGCTAAAGTGATTGGTTCTTATGGAGCTCAGATCGATCTTTGATCTCTTATGGCTCTTCCCTGTGCCAGAGCCTGTGAAAAGCCTTGGGTTACGGCTGAAAGCGAGGGAGCTTCAGTAAAGCCACTGCTGTCTTCTGGGAGCGGGCGTAGGTCTTGAGAAAAGCCGTTCACTATATACTCGGTATATGTGTCCAAATATAACCATACTCCTTTTGCGCTGGACTTGTGACTCTCCACGTCAAAACCGACTGCAACGGAGGAAGAAAGAGACCCCCTTTTGACGAATGATCGAAAGCGAAGGACGCTGTGACCCAAGGTGAATTCGTTGAGAGCCTAGAGCGAAACATTGCCAAAATCTAGTGAGTCACTTGTGGGATTATAATGCGCTATTGTCTGATCAATCCAAAGAAACACCTTCCGGTAAGAGGTATTCTTCGTTGAATTTTATTCATTCGATATTAGGACGAGTGCACCGACTGTATGTTTGGAAGACACGACATATTTTTTTTGTCTTCTTCACTGCTAGATGCATTCTCTTCGCTTCCTTTTTCAGTCTGAAGATATAGAAGAAACCCAGTAATTCTTGAGGTTATCGCCGATACATATCATCGCCGCCTTGATGGAGCTTCCAACGCTTCTTAGCGTTCGTTTGAAGAAAGAGTGCACCGACTGTATATTTGGAAGACTCGAAATATTTTTTTTCTTCTTTTACTGCTTTATGCATTCTCTTCGCTTTCTTTTTCAGTCTGAAGATACAGAAGAAACCCACTAATTCTTGAGGTCATCGCCGATACATATCATCGCTGGCTAGGCTATTCATGGTAATTTGGCGGTTTCATTCCGAAGCTCAACGCGAAGTTGAAGACGTTATACGAAAGAGTGCGGTCTTATCTAAAACAGCGATTGGTGCAGAGCTATTTGGAGCGGATTTTCCCAATATTGAGGGAGCTGCCAGCGCTTCTTAGCGAGAGAGAGAGAGAGAGAGAGAGAGAGAGAGAGAGAGAGAGAGAGAGAGAGAGAGAGAGAGAGAGAGAGGGATAGATATGTATTGCCAAGAAGAATTGATCGAAAATACCGCTTCTATCTTCAGTTTTAAAAGAAATGCTTTTTTGTGGACAGTTGAGTTTCGCAACGTGCACAGATTCCAAATTGTCTTCAGCACCTAAAAGATCTTTCAAAAACTTAACGCAAAATTTCGATTCACAATATTCTTTGCCTTTCTTCCTTTGATCTAGTGAAATATGTGTAACTGCTTGTTGTTGTTGTTGTTGTTAACGCAAAATTTCGATTCACAATATTCTTTGCCTTTCTTCCTTTGATCTAGGTGAGTCGAGGTGAGTCGAGGTGCTATATTAGTTCCTCTACGATATAAGAATGGATCATGCGCTTCTGTGAGTCTATTTGGTCAGACTGGAGATTGAACTCAGCAAACTTCCTCTCTGGGCCTTGGAGAATAATATGACTCTCTCCTGCATAACATTCAAATTACTTTGCTCCGCGCACAAACATTGTAACTGGACAAATATTTACAAAGCCTTTCAATTAACACCGTGTGTACGCAGCGCGAATTCTACAAAATCCAGACAACTAATTCTGCAAAAGCCAAAAAGTTGAGCGCACTACACACGCTACACAACACTTGTCCGCACTTACACTCATGTGTCCCCATTGTGCGCTCATAAAGCAGTCATTGTCTCTACTCGACGCTCAGCGGAGCTGGTCTGAGCACTGAGGGAGGCTTGCAGGGCTGCCGTTGTGTCACTTGTGCTGGCTTGCTTGTTGCTGGTGTTGGCTTGCGAATACTTGAAACTCTGAAGAGTACGTCAAACACGAGTAAAGGATCCAAACTACACAGGGGATGATAGAAAAAATATAAAGTTTGGACTATATAAAAAAAATGTAGCTAAAACAATACTTACAACGCAGGCAACTGTAGCGAGTTGCCAAGCGTGCAATGAATGCTCCTCTATGCTGTTGCAGGAAAGTTCCCATTCCGTCTAACAAGTGGATTAAGTGCGCGAAACATGTCACCCACACCGACCAAGCGCAGTTCTGTGCCATGTGGGTTTGCATGCGATAGTTTGAGTGGGTGCGTCTGCATACATTTGTATGTGCGCTTATGCGGCGCACTCACATGTCACTTGTGGTTACTTACGCTGACAGTTTATGGACTGGAACTCAAACCGCATAACGAGCTCCAAGAGCTCCACAGCCCCACTTATGCAGTCTGCTGCGGAAGTGCGCCTCCATATCGTTTTGCTGACGTATGTGGCTCTTACCGCGCTCACATGCAACCGTGTAGGCTTTAGAATTCTCCACTACCATTTTCTACACTTCCACACACTTCCACACTTTCATTGTGGTAATCACTTGTCCTAAAAACCGCCATACTTTTTCCTCTTCCTCTTCTACTTCTACTAGCACACAACGGTCGTTTCGTTTTTCTATTGCACGCTTTTTATGCTACTTTTTGCGCTATATTTCCTTACGCTACTCAACATTCATTATCCGCAACGTCGGCACACCGACCAACCAACCGAGGAGCGCGCGCGCTCGGTTCTACTTCATTTTGCATGCAGCGTTGCATTTGTAAAGCTCTTGTAAGCGCTTGTCGTCATAGCGTTGAAGTATTGACATATGTTGATTTGCCGCCGCCGTCCCTTACATTTTTTATGATGCCGCTGGTTTTTACCCACTCGTCCTTTTACCGCTATGTGCCAGTTTTGTCGCACGAACGGCCGTAGTCTGTTCATGAATACGCATTTGCTTCACAATCCTTTACAATGTTTGCTATTTTATAACTATTCTTATTACTATTGTTGCTATTGTTGTTGTTGTTGTTGTTGTTGTTGTTGTTGTTGTTGTTGTTGTTGTTGTTATATGTGGGGACTTAATTTACTAAGCATTCGTTAGGTTAACGAATCAGCACTACTCGAGTGTGTTAACTGGTGTGAACATTTGAACGGATGGGTGTTGAGAAGACAATTACCGACTGACATGTGTCATTGAGGCGATTAGGTTTGGCTTGTGGAGGTGTGGTGGTGCGGATGTGCGGATGTGTGGCGCAGCGCACAAGGAACGGAGGACGCGCCTAACGCTGAGGCTTGTGCGGGTCCTAACTACTGCAAGTGGTACTTGAAGTACTACGTTTTCCATCAGTCTCTCGCTTTATCACTTTATCTGCACATTCTCGTCTCGTCTCGTCTTTCACTTGTTGTTTAGCACGTGCGAATGCTTAACCTTTTAAACTGTTGTGGAATTGAGCGCTTTAAAAACTAATTGCGAGCCGGTGATTGTACTTTAATTTTTCACACAGTCGACTGAGCTTCTTTCAATTGCCTCGTCTTTCCACTCATTCAGTTTTCAATTCTTTTTAAAACATTTCTTCTTTTCTTCCAGGGGCATGGGACCTAAGAAGCGTCCCATTACTGCAGCTGCCGCCGCTACAGCCGCCGCCGCCGCCGCCGCTGCCGCTGCCGTTACCAGCACAGAGCGTCAGCAACGTTCTTCTACAGTTGCGTCGGTTAAGAAACGTGCCCTTCCAAGCAAAGCAAACAGTTCGCCAGTAGGTCGAAAGCCAACGGCTGCCGCCGCTGCTACCGTTACCTCTACCGCTACAGGTGCCAGTAACGTGATATCCACGAAACGTGCTGTGGTCGGTCGTACGCCGTCGCCTGGTAAGAAACAGCAAACAACGCTCAGTAGTAGGGATCGTGAGAAGGAGAAGGAAATAAATAAAGATAAAGGCGAGGAAAAAGTGAAAGAGAAGGTGGAGGAGAACAAAAACGAAGTTCAAGACAAAACCAACAGCGCCGAGAGAGTAGTAGAAAAGCAAGAGTTGGAAAAATCTGTGAACGAGATCAACCCCAAACTGGTTGGCACAAAAGCCAACGAAGAGATTGTAGTCAGGCAACTGCCGACAACTAAATCCGACAAGGCCGAGGAGTCTGCGAAGCCGACTAAATCTACAAAACGTACCCCTTCACGTGAGAATGTGAAAAAGACTAGCACTTCCGAGACGCGCGAAAAGTCTTCCTGCACTTCCAATAAGAAACCGGATACGGAAAAACAAAAAGCCGATTCCGAACCTCCAGCAAGCACATCGAGCTCCACCTCCGCTGCCAGCAGTAAGAGCAAAGCGGAGGAACGCAAAGATGGGAAGCATAAAGCTATAAGTAAAATGCTTAAAAGCCTCGATATACAAATAAGCGGTTTCGATAACATACTGCCAAGCGAGGAACGTATACAAGATACGCTCAAGTCCTCGATATCCGAGAATGTAAAGACGAAGTCACGCGCAGCCGCAGTTAAGGTCATAGCGAGTTTGAACCCGCCAAAATCGAATATAGTGCGCTCCAAAGTGCGGCAAGAAGAAGAACGGAAGGAGAAGGAGAAGTGTAAAGAAAAGGAGAAGGAAAAAGAGAAAGATAAAGGCAAAGAAAAGGACAAAGGAATAGAGAAGGAGAAGGAAAAGGACAAAGATAAGGTGAAGGAAAAAGCGGTAGAGAAAGTGAAGGATATAGAGAAAGAAAAAGAGAGGAATGAAGGTAGAGAAAAAGTGAAGCCAGAAAATAAAACCGAAGAAACTTACAAAGACACGGAAAAAACACAAGAAACTGAGCAAGTGAATGAGCATTTGAAGCCTCACAAAGAAGAAACCCACCCACAAGAAGTGCCAAAATCAAATGCACCTAATTTGGACTCTGACAAATTAAACTCAGCGAAAACTAAGGAATCTCAAGCATCGCCCTGTGCAGTAAATAAAACTCCTACCCCGAAAATGGCGCCTAAGAAGAAAGTAACCACCAAACGTCTCAATAAGACCGAAGGGAATCAGAAAAACAAAAAAGCGCCAACACAAAAAGAACTGGTGGATGATCCCAAGGGGCAGAATCCAACGACTGTGGGAACACCGTTAAAGAAGCGACCACTGAAAGCAAAACCTGTAAAGACGGTTCTCGAGAAGCCAATCGAGGAAGCTCCCAGCGCATTAACTGAAGAAAAATCGGATAACAGGGTTGCCACAGTAGAGCCACCTGAGCCACCGGACAAAACTGATGATAAAGTAAAGGCTGATAAGACGCATAAAAAGACGCCGTCACCGAAAAAAGCAAAGACGAACCCAAAGAATACAGACAAGTGCAATATACAAGAACCTGAGAAAGCTGCCGCTGACGAGCCGTCACAGTTGGTGGAAAAAGAAGAGACATTAAGAATAGTATTAGACGCCAATACGGAAGTAGTGCAAATGGATTTAGAAGAAATGCCGGTATGTGCAAGCGCACCCAAGGAGGTGGAAAACCAGAAGAAAGACACAACAGTAAGCGAACAAACTGTGAAGGTAGAGAAAGAGAAGATGGATGCTTTCAAACAGGAGGAGACTACTGAAAAGGCGTCGACTTCAGCATCATCCTCCCCGCTCATCAGCAAGAAACAAACATCAAACATCAAGCAAAGGTTACAGAGCAAATACAAAGTACCGCCGATTAAGTCCAGCTCGGTTGCTAAGTTGGTGGGCAAGAAGTCGAAGTTTGCGCAAAAGTTGGACGTTGAGAAATCGAGCAGCTCTTCCACAAAGGACGATATCTATGACTTCAGATCAGGGTCCGAGGAAGAAGACAACATTAAAATGGTGCTGCCTAAATTGAAGAATCTACGCGAGTTCGCAGATGAAGAACATAAGGTGAAACCGGCTAAGGATGGGCTTGTGTGTAAACAAAAGTCGATCGAACTGGAAGAGAAGGAAACGAAGGTGGAAGAAACAGCAGTAGAAAAGAAGGAAGACATGGAAGAACCAGTGAAGGTAGAATTGAAGGAAACGTCAGAAAAAAGCGAAAACGAAGAAATGACAAAAGAAGAAAATGAAAAGCCTGAAACTGTTGCAATGAATAAATCTGAGAACACAAACGAAGTAGAGGCGGAGAGCGTTAAGCCCACGCCAAAAAAGAAGAAGGTTACAAAACCGAAAGTGACACGGAAAGTATACAAAAAGAAACCTTTAATCACAAAGAAAGTGCTAAAAACCGTTAAAGGCAAAATGTTGCAGAAAACAGAAAAGGCAAAAGTGAATCCCACTAATGTGCAAAAGGACTCCTCGACGGGTAGTAGCGACTCGGAAGACGAAAAGAAACTGATTGATTTCGGACCTAAACGACATCGTATGGCTTCACTGAATGCCTTGGCCAAAGTGCAATGTCTCTATGAGAACGAATCGCGTACGGCGTATGAGCTGGGCCTATCTAAAGCGACGCAGCTGCCGCCCAAGATACGCACCGTTGATGGCAGTGAAGACGAAAAGGAGAAGGATAAAGATAAAGATAAAGAAAAAGAAAAAGAGCCAGATGAGAAAGTGAAATTCAAGAAAGACAAGAGAGCCGATGATGTCATCAAGTCCAATGAACGGCAAAAGGCAGACTCGGAGGAGGAACCGCCGGAAGTGGAACCGAAGCGTGAATTGCGTCATGTACCAGGTGGGCGTGGCCTTGGTAAACATTGGGAGTTCGAGGAGAGTGGCGATAGTGAGGATGAGGAGATAGACAAAATGAAGCTGAAGCGCAAGAAATTGCAGAAGAAGCTGGCAAACAAGAAAGAAAAAGAAGCAGAGAAACTAAAAGAAAAGGAAAGACAGAGAGACGGAAAAGAAGAAGGTGCTTCCGGTAGTAAAATTTCCAAGACAAAGGAAGATAAAGAAAAAGACGGTGCTAAGGAAAAGGAGCCCATCAGAGTAAAGCGCAAATACACAAAAATCAAGAAGCCATTGAAGAAGTTAGTTAAGATGAAGACCGATAGCTCAGATGCTGGCGAACATAGCGAGGGAAGTGGTAATGAAGAGAAAACTCTGGACAAAGAGAAAAATAAATCACATAAAACCAAATTGGAGGCACGTAAGCCACCAAAGAAGCGTAAGCGTATGCTGCGTGAAGAGCTAATCGGGGACTACAAGGGCATATTGGCACGCAAACGTATGGCCAGCCTCAATGCCAGTGCCATAGTAGCCGCAACCTATGAGGTGGAACGACATTTGGATAAAAATCTCGCCTACGGCAGCTATGATAGTTCTGACGGTGAAGGAAAGACCTCTACACCAGCTAAGAAAACTAAAGATGCAGCTAAAGAGGCTCGTAAAACTTCCATGACTACAACGACGGCCAAAGAGACAACAAACATGAAGGATATGGGCGAAACTACCGCCAATGCAACAACTACAGCAAATAGCTCTAATGCGTCTAATGCAAGTGGCACTGCCAGGGAGTCATCCAGACCATTGAATTTGAATGAAGAGAGCAACGATTCGAAATATTCCAAAGAAACCAAAGAGACCAACACTGACACCACAACAACGGCTGGTTTCCGTGATTCAGGTAGCACAAAAGATGCAAAAGACTCCAGCCGACCCACCTCATCGAGTGTGGTAATTGTGCAGGACACCGACGTAACCATTACCGGCGTGTATGTGAACTCCACCACGGGCTCAAGTCAGGAGGCCTATTGTAAAATGCAATACCGCGTGCAATCAAGTGTAACCGAGGAGCGCGTCTTGCGTCCCAACTCAGTTGATCCGCCAAAGTCTTACACGCCGCTAAGCGCGCTCTCTAGCATGCTGCCACCGGGTGCCACGGGAAGTTCGACTGGTGCGATGAGTGATGGTGAGTTCCCGCACACTTTAGTTCATCAACAAATTCAATATAATTTTCTTTCATTTTTATCGTCGTTACAGCACAAGGTTCGCCACCACCACCGCCGCCGCCGCCTACTGCCGTCGGCACAACTTTACCTGAGGCGCTCAGCGGAGCAGGCATGTATCACGCCAGCGATCTTGGCATACACACCGAGCATGGTGCACCTGAGCATGGACCACCACCTCCATCATATGCTGCCGCCGCCGCAGCCGCAGCTGCTGCCTATCACGTACATCACATGTCGCCAGCTGCAGCAGCCGCAGCCGCCGCTGGTATGCATGTACACCATCAGCATCAATATGCACACGCACATCCGCATGCATATTCACAAGTGGGTGGTGAGCATGGCATGCACGGTGGACCACCACCCACAGCTGGCGGCCCACCACCGCCGCATCATTATCAAGCGGCTCCACCGCCGCCGCACTACGGACCGCCACCACCACCGCCGTCCACGAGTGTGGTCGGATCGGGACGTTGCGATGTGGTATCACCACCGCCTACCTATCGATCCAGCATCTATGCGCCACCTACAGGACCGCCGTCACAACAAACCGGGCCTAGTGGCCTGTTGCCACCACCACATTCCACGCTGTCCATGACAGCAGGTGGTGGCTCTAGCGCATTCTGTGCACCAAATATACATCATCAACAAGCTCAACATCAGCATCAACACCAGCAGCAGCAACAATTAGCGGGTCAGCAGCAGGATGCAAGTGGTGAGTTGGCATATATGTTATTCTTTATATATGTATGTTTATACCCATTTATTACTTATGGTCATTATATATACTTGTATTGTAAGTGCCGTGAGTCTTGCTGATGCTCACGTGATTGCAAACTAAATGGATTTAAAACTCATTTGTACACCTCTCTAAGTGTATTTATAATGTTCCTCTGCCTCCCTTTGGTAATCAACGTTTTCCCCCTTTTAAGGTTATTCACATTTGCAGTGCAGCAACCTAATTCATCCCTACTCGGTGTCAATTAAATTTTTAATTGAATCTTCATCCGAGTTTCTCTGGGTTAGTTGAGTTAAGGCCGCCCTTCCACGAATCGGTCAATTTAATTAAAAGCCTTTTAAGATCCCAAACGAGGAGTAGAGGCATGAAGTGAGTTTGTTGAACAAGAGTTTAAGCGAATGAGTTGAAAAATGTCGAATGAGAATACATATTCACCAACGACTCAAAATTAAATTAGAAATAAGTGAAAGCATAGTTAGTTGGTTAGTTAAAGAGGTTGCTCCATTACGGAACCCTAACCCAGCGCACTTAGGGGCATTTTAGTTCGTTGCTGTGCCTGCGAAGATTTCTCTCAGATTTTTATATTCTGATAATCACTCAGTTGTGCTGTTCAGCAGATTTATGATGCCTCCAGATGTAAGCTCTGCAAGTCAATCGGAAAAGAAATATCCGATTAGACGATATCGGACCCCACTAAGAGCTGAGCAGTGGCCGAGATGGTGATTCACCGATTTCTTCCTATCTATGTCCCTGCAGCTGCGGCAAAGGTCGTTTAAGAACCAGCCCATTCTTCTACCGCGAGACTACCTTAGACAGTGTCCGGTTATTACGACGGTTGTTATGCTCTACTACTCTTCATAACAAACAAAAAAAGAAACTAATTGTAGCTAGGAAGCTTTATAAATGCTAAAATTTTCTCCTCATGTAGCACAAACCCAACTGACCTAATCAGAATGCCCAAAAATGTGTTCACTCCTCTCCGGAAACATATTTTCACCATCTACACGTGCATCCTCGTTTTCATACTAACATATATATATATACACTATAGTAAGCCGCTTCAATGGCTACTTATATGTGCTTACTGATTGATACATAACTCTTATATATGTATGTATATTGGCATTTACATTAAATGTCATTTAATTTATCATTACACAAGTGTTACACGTTTGTGTGCCGACCTGAATGGCATACACCGACGCACTGACTAACTGACGGACGGACTGAGTTTGTCTGAGTTTGACTGACGAATGAGCGTGTTGGGAATTTCGCTTAACGAGCTGCCGAATCTTGTCAACATAATTTAATGCCTGCCAGTTTGGGCAGGTGGTAGTTGGTGTTGTTGTTATTGCTACCTTTATTGGTATTTTAGGCTTATTTAAGTACATTAGCACATACATTTGTATATATAAAATTGCTTTCATGTTTATTGTTGCTGTTGTTATTATTATTGCCGTTTATGTGTCAATAAAATGGAAATCTATGTTAATTATTGCCTTAGCGTTGACACTTGAGGTGTTGGAATTTATCTATTAAGGTTTCCATGTTCCATTTGTGTTGATCTGACTTTTGGTAGGCAATGTTAAGTGAAGGATAACCGAACGAATTGTTAACAAAATTGTAATTATTCGGTAATCACATTTACAATTGCGCGGGGAAATGAAATCTATATGTTTTCTTTAAGACGCGTTTCCGGTTAACCATTTCACAATTTATTGTTGTACTTTGGAATGTATACATTTCAATTTGTGGTATATTTAATAGTTCATTCAGTTCAATGTACGAAAATATAAAATGACTTGCAAGAAAATTTGCCTGTAAATATTATCGATAGTCGATGACTTCCGATGCTAGGTGTAGCAAATTTAACCCTTGTAAAGTTTATGTTTTCTGAATTTGTATGTAGTAGTGGCGAAAATATGCCGAATAAACTTTTTTAATGAACAGCTTTAGTTTTTGTGCAATTAGAAGCAATATTTTAACTATTTTTTAAAGAAATTGCATTTTTATTTCTTTTCTGGCTTTTAAAGTAGACATTATTATTTCACCTTAAATATTGTTTTTCTTTCACAACGAGTACACGTATATCTTTATTAGAAGAAATATAGTCTTTCAAGATATTTTCAACATTTTAAAGTTCATATTTTAATTTATTTTTATTATTTGTTTTTTTTCGCTAAGGTTTCCAAATTCGTTGAATTGTTCATTTAATCTTCTAAAATTTTCACTAAAATCAATTCAAACGCTCGTCAAAAATTTAAAGTTCGATACAAACCACTTGCACATTTGTTTATTTTCACTTTTCCACTGCGCTCTACTGCTGAGCCATTACCTATAAGCATATCAAAGCGCGCACTTGAAAAGTTTAGTTCGATATTATGTAAGTGGATTAACTCAACTACGGCAATTATTTTAATACACATGTATTCTGTTGGTTTTTTGTACTTTCTAAACTCAAATGAAATTAATTTTCACGCACGATTGTCGCTTAATTTGCTGCACTATAAACTTTTAGCATATTCGTGGTTATGTGAGGTTATGTTAGCGAAAATTTATATGATGCGTCTAAATGTAGGCAACACTTGGAATTCTAATAGTCATAATGTTACCTGAAATTGAGATAAAGCAAAAATTTTTATAAGAAATTATTAAGCAAAATTACACAAGCTACTTGTGCAGCTCTGAGTACGACGCCGAAATAATATACAGCCGACGTTCACAGCTTTTATCGTATCACCAAAGGCCTTAGACCGTCGATAAATTGAAACTACAATATTCAGCATTCTTCATATCCCTTATCTGCTCACTAATTTCTTGCTTTATTTATAAAATAAAATAAAATGTGTACACTGAGAAAAAAGTTTGTCCACCTAGTTGTAAATATACCAGTACTCAGGGGAGAGAATGTACGTAGATAAAGTCGCTCTACGGCAGGCACTGGCTACAGGATGTGCGAACAAATTAATGAAAACAATTTGAAAACTTCTGCACATGGCAACACACACACATATACATATACAAAATGCAATATAAGCATTCACAAACACACACACGCGCACAGAGTCACTTAAACCAATATAAAATGACAACTACAAGTAGACAAACTTAACTACTCTCCTTTTAAAGGTGGAAGTAGAGCTTGCCTTGAATTACAAGTTGTCTATTTACGAGAGATTTTGCACTTTTTCCTATTTTGGATTTTATTTTCTTTGTTTACACACATGTTCACGTCGAGCAAAAGGAGAAAGAAAAAAATAAAATAAAAGTTGCACAACATGAAGTTTATTTCTTCATTAAAATGTTTTACTGCAGCTATATTACTTTTCGCTTGCTTTTCTTGTAGTTATTTTGTTTTTGTTGTTTTGTATCATTTATTGTTGTTGCAGGGTTTCGTATGTACATACGTATATACGTACATATATATTTGTTGCCAAAGTGTTGATTGAGAGTGAAGTGCTGCAATAAGGATAAAAGTAGTTAAAATGTTAGTTATATTGTATTAAATTTTTAAGAGTGTGCAAAAGCAAAAGCCCGTAGCTCAATGCACTTACTCTCTTTATCTTCTTTGTTTTTCGTTGTATATTTTCCAAAGTTTACAATTGTGTCGATTAAATTAAACGTGTTCGCCGCAAGTTCAATTCAATTCAATTTGCCGACAATGCACGCGCGTCAGTCGGTGTGCGCTCAAACAAAGTTGAAATACAATAAATAAATACTTTCCTATGAATATATGTAATAGATAAATATATACATGCATATATATATATATATATATATCTATATACATCTATATACATATAAGAAATACAGTTTATATTATGAAAATTTAATAAGATAAAAATAAACGGACTATCAAGGAAGAGCCAAAAATCGATAATCGATAACATTATGATGGCAAGCACGTGTTGGTTGGTAAGGCTATGCGCACGCTGTGTTGTAATTAAAATTTCCTAGAGCTTGAAGAATTTTTGCGCAAAAGCAAAAAATAAAATAAATTTTACTTCTGTATACATACATACATATATTGAGGTTTATTTCTAACATACTTATGAGTTCCATTTTTTTTCTCATTAACTTTCTTCGTTTAGTTTGCCGCTGTTTAGCCATTACTGCTCTTCACATATTATACTTTCTTATAATGTATAAGTAACACATCTTGAAAAGAATTTCTGCTCCATTCATTACACCTTCTCTAACATTTTCATTTCCTTTTCCTCCCAGTAGAAATAGTTTAGAAGAAAGTATACATCTAAGCATATGAAGTATTTAATGAAATTATAATTGCACTTACAACTTTTGTCTGCTGTTCTGCTGCCTCACACAGACTTATATCTAAGAGAAATCTAAGAAATCTTCAAATACCAACAATTTGCCTCCAGTAGTTTGTAGAAAATCTCTGCTATCTGTTACTTCCAGCTGAGTAACGCCGTGTGTGTGTGTGTGTTCGGCAGAAATTGATGATTTGGAATTTAATTCCATTTTTCTGTTACTTTTTCCTTTTCTCCTTTACTTACTTTGTTCATTGGCGAATAATAATTGAGAAAGTGTTGATTAAAGTTTGCTTCGAGGAGCGACTGATTTGAGTGGCAAATGGATTAATGAGCTGGCGATGATGATTAAATGCGTTTGAATAGTTTCGCAAAGTAATATCAGTGGTGGAGGTGTGTATATATGTATGTGTGGCTATTTAGTGGCTAAAAGGAATGTTAAAGTTTTGGTTAGGGACGGCAAGTTTCCGTAGCTAAGCGGAAAAGAATGAAACGGAATGTATGTGCAAATCTGCAGGTGAATGAATCGAATGAGTGAACAACACAGATGACCGAAATTAATATACTTTTTTTCTATAAAACACTTCATATAGTATACGTACATATGTACACATATATGTATACCAATTTCTCTATTCTTACTTCTTACATTTTCTTTTTTACGTTCGTTCTACTCTAAAAAGTTTTGTCAATCGCAGACGAGTT